GGTAATAAATAAAAAGCAGATCATCCCATTGAATAATAAGCCTGAAGACCATATGTCACTTATCATGACGTCCATTAAAAGCAATGCGCTCTAGAGCATTTCCTGCTTACTGTAGCTCACATCTTCAGGCCTTATGCTGGTGACATGTGTGCAGTTTATTAGTCATTATTACAGCTCTGGTGGAGTACAGTGTAAGCTCAGGGTTTGGGGTATGGTGCTTTGAGACCAGAAGGTTTTCCTCAGGGGGGGTGCAAAGTGTCCAAGTCAAGTGATAAAAATGGACGTTTGTTTAAACCAGGACACTTGGGGTCATTTTTTTCCCACAAAGCTTGCCAAAAGTCCTGCTGTTGGGAGATTGGACATCCGTCTCAGTTAAGAAAATACTGAGATGATGATAAGGCCATACAGATCTTTTCTGATCTTGTGCATGTCCCAACAACGTGCTCTGTCATTTTTATCAGTTTTGTGGTTGGAATTAGAATGACTATTATATGTTTACTTTGGAGGTCACAACTTCCTGTTCACTTCAGAAATCACTGTAATGCAAGCCTTTGTGTGCTTAAAAGCGCCACTATGTATGTTTTTAGTGGAGGGTCCAAAACCGTCTATTCTTCATGGAGATGTTATTGATTCTTTGCAGCTGATGTGATCAGATCTCCTTGGGGGTGTGATGCTAACTGTAAGCTCTGCTCTGTCTAAAACTCTGCTACACAAGTTAGGCTTTAATCTAAACTTTGTGGCTTAAATACATTTTGTATTTAAACCACACATTTAGGTATTGCTGATGTATGCACTGTGTGCATATCTGTCTGTCTGTCTGTCTACTCTTATTGGTTGTTTATTTCACAGTTTATATTGTGTAGTAGTATACTTTGTGGTGCACTCTTTTTTTTCTCTGCTTAACCAGACTCATATTTACATTGCATTTGTTGTTGTTATTGCGTTCTCAAGTCCATTTTGTGCATACTGTGGTGGCATCTCATGTTGTCCTGCTGGGAGTCTGGTGATGGTGGTCTGCAGTGTCACTGATGTATCACTGGCTCACTCCCACACGAACCCTGAAATACTCCTGACAGGAAATGGGACCTCTACAGCTGCATTACAAAACTAGTCTTCCTCACGTTTGTTATTGATTTTATTCTTCTGGGACAGTCACACAAACACTGAGCTGCATATGTGACTTCTTCATTACTCCCAGATGTTTGAATCAAAGTATATAAACATATGCATAATCCCTGTAGTGTTATTACAGACTGCAGTGGGGCCCACATTTACACTTGTAATGTACCCTTAGGCGATGTGTGCGTGGGCTGTCCCGTTGTGTGTGGAGTTAGCATGTTTCCTCGTTAGCTGATGGTGACGCAGCAAGTGAAGCGGGCTGTTTGTAAAATCTCGGAAGGGTCAATCAGTCAGCCGATTCCCAGCCTCTGTGGGAAAACTTGCTGCAGCAGTTTATGGTGATTACTGTGCCATCGCTAACGCAAACAAACCACAGGCTCTGATCTTAACAGTCAGCATTTGGATTTTGTTCCTGAAACTCAAAAAAAGCCAATAATGCCAATAATGAAATTAAATTCTAACACAGTATTGTACTGAAATTAGTATTGATACTGAAGAAAACTAAATAAGAAAAAATGTGTATCTGTTTCAGAACTAGTATAAGACCATACAATAATATTGAAGCAAACCATCTTGTGGTGACAATTACATTCTATTGACAAACGTTTTTGTTTTTAATCATTATTGTGGTTTCAACAACCAGAATCTAGATTGCAATTTTAGTATTGTAACCTCTCTATTCTAACAATGCCTTGTTAGACCTGTGATAAGTTTGGTGGTTGATGTTTACAGGAAATGTGTCAGAATCTCCCTGTTGGGTCAATCACCCTTGAAGTGTTGAAGTGTTGCAAGTAAAATGCCCTTTCCCCTCATTTGAACCTCTTGCTCTTTAAACTTCTATACACATATCCTTGGTGCCAGATTTTGTTTAGTATTTGGTCACATTTACTCCAGTGTATTTACTTGAGTAACTTTTGATGAAACTGTAGTTCTCAAGGTACTTTTCAGACACCATACTTTTACTCCTAATTGAATAATATATTTTACAGTGTAACATTACTTACCAGCAGTGTTGGGAAGGTTACTTTTAAAATATATTCCCCTACAGATTACAGATTACATACCCCAAAATGTAGTTTGTAACGTAATCCATTAAATTACTTACTTAAAGTGAGTAATGTAATCCGAATACTTTGGATTACTTGATTTGCTGTAGAGAAGCAAAGACCAGGAAATCTTCACATAAGATGTTTTGTCTGATGAAAAAAAAATAAAAAAAACAGACTTTACTGAACCAAATTAAAAATATTATTGATAGAAGAGGAGGAGACACGGTCCATACAGCATGATTTAGTCTTGTTAAATCCTGGTTTAGTCCTGGTTTAGTCCTAGTTTAGTCCCAGTTTAGACCTGGTTTTAGTCCTGGTTTAGTCCTGGTTTAGTCCTGGTTTAGTCCTGGTTTAGACCTAGTTTAGACCTGGTTTAGACCTGGTTTAGACCTGGTTTTAGACCTAGTTTAGACCTGGTTTAGACCTGGTTTGGACCTGATTTAGACCTGATTTGGACCTGGTTCAGTGTCCGGCAATGAGTGGAATACCTTGGGGAAAAAAAAAAAAAAAAAGGGATATAGCCTGAAATGTGAAAACAGAAAATACCGTCATGTAATCCATTTATTTCAACAAAGTAACTGTAATCTAATTACCACTCATTGAAACAGTAACTGTAACTGAATACAGTTGCTCATAATTTGTACTCTGATTACGTAACTCCGGTAGATGTAATCCGTTACTCAGCAACACTGCTTACCAGTAATGTTACATTGTAAAATAGAGTACAAGTAAGGCACTCATGTCCACTTTGAGTAAGTTTATAAGTGACAAAAGCTTTATATTGACAATATTAATTGATTCATTGATTGTACTTCTACTTGAGTAATATTATTTTGAAGTAACTGCCTTTCTTGAGTGCAGTTTTTGGCTACTCTACCCACCTCAGCAGTCAAACATTATTTTAATTTAATGTTTTGAAAAAGTGTATGATAACATTTCTTATTCATAATCATATCTAATGTAATGCATCTGTTTTTTCCACAGGAGTACAAGTTTGTCAGATCATTACAATGAGATTAGTCAGTTTTTGTAAGTGACACATGCCGTTGCCGTCGGCGCCAGTGCATGCGGCTGCTGTCCCTCACTCCTCTGACCCTTATAAGTGCTGATGTACGTCTTCCTATCTCGGCCTGTCCCGTGCTGTTGTCCCTGGGTCCACGGGGACAAAATGACCCCCCTGCTCTCGCCATCACCACATGCACGTCCCCAGTGTATTGACCGTCCTGGGAAAGTTTGAGCTCAACACTGTGGGAATGTGAACTGTACACATCGGAGCAGTCGCGAAAAAGGAAAAATGGACTGTGTGTTTGAATTTGCTGTGAGGGATGTTTAATGCATGTTTCATTTCCTGCCCTGTAGCATTAATGTATTCGGATTTTAGTGTAGAACAAATATTTCTCACCCTCTGTATTTTCTGCTGTCACTCTACATTTCATTACTTCTCGTTGATGCATGTTATTAGAAACAGAAGGTGGGGGTGGGAACATGTTTTGGGAGAAACTAGAGAATTCATTTTGGGAACGGAAGTGCTGAAGGCAGTTAATATAGAAGGACAACTTAAATCTGTATCTGGTTTGGGTTTCTTCTTAGCTTCAGTCTAAACCAATTAGATGAGTGGTGGAAAAACAAGACCAATAGATATTTCTAGGCCAAATGAAACATGTGAATGGATGACAAAACCCTTGGCATTGGGAGATTGAATTAAAAAAGCTCACGTTTTAAGTCTAAATTACATAATACGGAAACTTAGTACAAGGTCTTAAAATAGAGCATATAAATTTGGTTCTCATTATCATAAACTTTAGGGGGTACCATTCTCAAGATACATTTGGACATTTTCCACTGACTCCTCCTCGACTTCCTCCTCCACCCTCGCTCTTCCCAAGTCCAGTTCTTCCACCCCCTGTCTTTTTCCTCCTCTCCCTCTCTGTCTCTCTTCTCTCTCTCTCTTTCTCCCACCCCGAAATGCGCCTGTGATCCATCCCTAACTGTTTCCAGACATCTGGGTGCTGCAGGCCCTCACCCCCACCCCAAACATAACAACCCCCCTCTCTCTTCCCTTCGTTTGCTGTTACTTTATTCTGTGCTAACATTGGTTAAATTTGGATGCCTATTAGTGTAGTCACCTTTGACCACTGAGTTTTATGGAGCTCTGGTTTTGGCATATAATATGATATTTTTAACATTACCAAAACTCTGTGTGTTAGCAGTTAGTGTGCTCATTTTCACTTGCGTTTCCACCGAAAGTAATTATTCATTGGAAAGGAGGCTTGGATGTGTCATTGTTGCCAGTAAGCATGCAGGACAGTGATCAGTTGAGTGGACAGAGCTAGAGCCAATAGAAACAAAGAGGCACAGACATTGTTGCTCTGTCTGAGAGCAATGAGGCATCAAATTCTTCTAATATGAGTTTAGGTCACTTAAAAGCTTTATTTTCCTGTTTATCTTTAATGACAACACATACATTTTTCCAATGAGTATTTACAACAGTTTTATACCTGGGCAGTGATCTTTATAGATAGAAACAGGCCAGTGAATGTGGTGAAGTGCTTCTAGTTGTATTTATTTATTTACTGATTAAAAGCAAATTATGCCATTTTTTTTTTTTTTACTCTTATTTAATCTTTAGATCTTGAAATGAAGGAGCAGATCCATTATGCTGTGAGTCAGTCACTCTTGCAAAAATGTCATCACAAAAAACCCCTAAAAGATGTTTTTTTTTCCACTGTGGTTTTTATACTGCAACTGGCCAGTAAACTGAAATGGAAGATGTTGGTCAATTATTGTGAAGAAAACATTTATATAGCAACTTTTTCAAATTTTGTTTTTCAGAACAAATTGCCTTGGGGACATCCACCATGAGGAGTGTGACAGTGTCCACTCTACATTTTGCAGTCATTGTTCTCGGTAAGAACTGCACTGATAAGATAAGCTGCATTTGTAACACTCAGGATTTACTAACTATTATAAGTACTTATACAGCCTCAGATAAAGTCAAGAATTTGGTTTCAATAAATAATGTAAGCCTACACTCAAATTATTCACAGCACCAACACATTCTTCTTTGTGGAGATTCCATTAATATTCAAAATAAAATTATGCTTTTTCACATCTAATAAATTTTTTTCACATTAACAATAAAATTTTAAGTTTATCATGCTATGTGAGTTACAAATGGCATCTTGTTTGCATTGATCTAATACTTTGTATGTGGACATTCTGTTACTTTACAATATCAAATTCTTTCAATTTAATTTTTTTTTACTTTAAGGGTATGTTATACAAAATGGACTCTTGTGAGCTTTAAGCCACTTTATAATGGTGTTATCTTCTCAAAAAACATTCAGAGAGTTGTGTTTTGTTTCATTCACAGATGTTTCAGTAATCACCTTCTGATGTCATGAAGCGGTTTTCAAGTTAACCAACACTTTTTATATTTAGTTCAGTAAAGAATGACAATTTCAGGGCAATGATCCAAATGATCCAAATGATTCCAGTGAAGATGTATGGATGTTTAAAAACACAGTCCCTTCCTGTATTACAACATGACATCACAATATGGAACAGAGTGTTTTCTGTTTGTTTGAATGAAACAAAGCACAACTCCAGGTATGGTTCGATGAGGAAAAACACTATTAACATAAATGAAATACTGTAAAAGAGGCCCTCTGAGTTCTGTTTTAAACTCCAGTGTGGCAATTAATATTATCATCCTAAGTAAACTACAAATGGCTACTAGTTTTTACCCATCACTCATATAATGCTTCATGCATGTTGCTAATTATATGGTGTTACCAGCACAGTGAGCTAGTTATCTTTTGAGATAGCCAGTACTTTGAAGTGTGAGGCAGTAGGAGTCTATCTACCCTTTGTGTCATTTCTAATACATCTGTCACTGCCACCACATCATTACTGCTCCAAACAGCTCATATCCTTCACCGTTTGAACCTCCACTGAATTTGGTCTGTCTTGTTGACTTAACCTTTGACCCTCCCTGGTGCCTCTGTGGCCTTAAATGTGACCCCCTTTTTTTGTTTTGTAAACCACAGCTTTTCTGTATCTCTGTCCCGGGCTGCCCTGCCTGGAGATCACCCCAGCGGGCAGCGAGTTCATCCTGGACCCTGGTTCCTCTCTCACCCTGACTTGTTCTGGATCAGAGGAGACAGCCTGGGAGTTTAAGAGAGATGACATTCCTTATTTTCAAGTGGATCAAGTGCAACATGGCAAAAGGAGCTTCCAGATTGTCCAAAATACCGACATGACCAGTGTGATGACCCTGTTCGATGTGAGCTGGAAGCACAGTGGGGTTTACCTTTGCATGGATCGAAAGACGGGAAAAAGCAAAGAAGTTGTTGTTTTTGTCCCAGGTACAGTAAACTGAAAATAGCTATACTTTTATGTAACAGTAGCCAAGGACACTAACAGGGTTAAATGGGTTAAAAATGACTGCTCTGTCCTGGACAGTCTGTGTCTTCAGACAAGACACTTCATCTGCTTGTTTATGTGATTGATTGTGTGATTGGTGATGGTTAGAAAAGCTGAGTGCATCCATGTGAGGGTCAATGCCAAATCCAAAATTTGACTTATTTTATAAAATGCATGCCCAGATAGTTTATTGCAGGTGCTGAAGTTACTATAAAAACACTACTTGAATAAAGGCAGGGTTTAAGATTTGTTTGATTTCATATACAATTAGACAATACATATTTATTGTTAAATAGTCTCTGAAAAAACATGTCAGATCATGTTTGTCTTACTTTGATCATCACAGAAAAAACAATGATTAATCTTAGAATTAGCTATTCTTTTTGTCAGACAGAGTTTGTTTACCTGCTTTAGATATTTCAGTTTCACTGTAGCCTTCTTCAGTAGCATTATCAAGGAAGGGAAGGGCCACAGGAAATAGCAAAACTTTGTGGAAAAATTCTTATCTTGACATAATTACATTACAGCAGACAAAGCACATATTCACAAATGTTCAAAGAGACTTCAATGAAAGGTTCAAAGTGAGTAGAGACCTAAATCAGGTAATAGCTGTCAGTTAGAGACAAGTATTGCCATTAACAGAATGGTGAATAATGCAGTGTTTTATTAAGTGTACTTAAGTATTATAATGTATTCTAACATAATAGTGTTGTTATTTACATTTTTTCATAGACCCAGACGTGTGGTTCATTGAGAGCTCCCATGGTATGGTGACTAAGACCAGTGAGGAGACCACTATCCCCTGCCTGGTGACTAACCCAAACATCAGTGTATCCTTGGTTGAGAAAGACACAGATGTTCCTGTGAGGGGGGTGTATGATCCGAGCGAGGGATTCAGGGGGCTGCTAGAGGACCGAACATACATGTGCCAGGGAGAGCTGAACGGAGAGGTGAAGGAGTCCCAGGCCTTCTATGTCTTCAGTATAGTGGGTGAGTGGTGGGGTCAAGGAAATGAAATAAACAAGTGCTCCTGCTCCTGAATGTTTAGAAATATGTCATGAAGCTAACAGTCAAAGATATTTCACTCTAAATATTATAGCTTTAAGAGTAAAATTGAGGGTTATAATGATTAGAATAGTGTACTGACTCCTTGTTTATGCAGTTTAATGAATATGGATATCTCATATTGACCCTAGACAAATTCACTCTTTTACTTTTAATTGTTTAATCATGAAGTCACAAGGTAATGTAAGTTTGTATATGAATTGTGTCAGTTCAGTTTGTATTTGTTATGACAATGTGCAGCCTATTGCGATTCAACTACTTCTTTACTCTCCTCCTCGCAGTCCCAGAGACCATAGATGCCTACATCAACGCGTCCAAAACGGTGCTGAAGTCGGGCGAGCCACTGACAGTGAACTGCACGGTGCATGGTGTGGAGCTAGTGTACTTTTCCTGGGATATTCCCAACAGAGAAGTGAGTGGGAGCATAGAACAAGAGCTTTTGTTACGCTTTCCCTTCAGGATCACTCTAGGGCTTCACGGACCAACCCAAATCACATCAAGATGTAGAGACACACCTTAAATTTGAATCTGCTCTGTGCAATGTGTAGTGTGGGCTGTAATGAAACTAAACTTCACATTTACAATGCCTTTGATCAGTGTAATTAAACTGTTGTGTGGAACTGTATGCATTAAAACATGGCAATGCACTGAGGCACCATTGTAACTCATTTTGGTGTTAGTTGTGAAGTGCTACATGAAATTAAGGGGTTGTGGGTGTATAAGAAGAATCATCAAGAGAGGACCAGCTGTTTTTCAGCATTTTTATCAGTGTATGTGACCTCATCACCCCAATATGTTGCACCCCAAAATAATTATTTTCAAGTAGCCTTAAGTAGCATTTCTAATAGCTTAAATAGCTTAAGGTATTAACTTAGGGAATAAGCAAAAATACCAATCATCTCACACTGTCATCATAATCGATTTTGATTGAAGAATGGGTATGTAAATCTGTACCAATCTAAAACACATACTATAACTTACAATAGTGTAGAAAAAAACTAAATATTCCAGAATACAATGACTTCAATTTCTATTACCATAGCCCTTTATAAAGTCAGGTGATGCACTGTAATATAATTGTAATAAATACACATATATTACTAAATATTAAGGAAACATAGCCATTTTGCCTCTAAAAGAGCATTTTAGAGGTTTACCCAGATAAAGGTTGAAGGAGAGAAATGTGATTTTAACTTATCTGCCATATAGTAATACAGGCTTTAAATTATTTTGTACTTTTTGTGTGCCTCAGTCTTTTTCAACTTTGTGTATAATTGTGTGAAATGTTTGTGTGTTTTCCAGCTGACTGAAGTGGAGCCCCTGACCGATGTGCTGTCCTCTATGCACATGCGCTCCTGCCTCATCTTCCCCCAAGCGTCTGTCGCCCAGAGCGGAAACTACCACTGTCACGTCCACGAAGGGGTCCAGGACCAAACCGCCTCCGCCACCATCAACATCACCGTCCTGGGTTAGACGCAAGCCAATCATAACAATCACATCCAGAAAGATTATTATTTTGTTACTGGGGCAGAGAAAGGCTCTACATTACACAAACCGATGTGCAAGAGGTGATATTTGAAAGGAAATGAAATTTACAGTTGTTTATTTCTGTTCAAAGCATGGCGTAAACTTTTGACACAACATTGATCCTTAATATTACAGTACAATGCAGAGATTTATTTTGGTTTATTATATAGGCCCTCAACGAAAACACACATGCAATGGTATGACTTTGACCACTGAATACAGCAGTCAGGTACCTCTGTAGAGAAGGTCTTTTACAGTCTATGCTCTGTGCCTGTCTGTATTTAGGAGCTACTGGTTACTCTATCTGCACTGAGCTGTGTTATGTTTACAAAAGCCTTAAATATCTCTGCTCTCATGCCCTGCGCAGACACTAAAGGACGGTTTAGGGAGCTTTACTGGAGCTTAGTGGAAAATGTAGATAATGTCTGTGCCCAGATGTTGAACTGGGGAAGTAGTAGGTGGTGTGTGAGTGTAAATGAGTGTGTTGTTTGGTATAAAACTTCAAACCCATTCACAATATAATATAATACAAATACGAGTTTTAATTGAGATTCCACATTGCCATTTCATGTCAAAAGTCATTTTTAAGGAAAGTAACACAATAGTATTTATGTTATAGCACCAAATGAAAAATAGTTAAAGGCACATTATGAAACTTTTCTAATTTCATTTAACCACATAATGAAACTCCTTCCTCAGATCATGGCTTTGTGAATGTGAGACCTGCTCAAAAGCTAAACATTTCTGCAAAGTTACAAGAAAACGTGGAGCTCCGAGTGGAGATCGAGGCCTATCCTCCTCCTCAGGTTTACTGGAGGAAAGGCGGCTCTGTGATAAGAGGAGACAAAACCATCATCACCCGACAAGAGCAGGAGATCAGGTGGGGATTTCAAACAGACTGATAAAATCTACACATCACAACATATTACATTTAAGAAAAACTCTGTTAAAGTGATAGCCCCGGAGGTGTCACAGTTTGTCAGTCATCACCAGAAAATGCCTGTTCAAGCAGAAACACTATCCTCTCCAGAGATCAGCACTCTTTCAGCTTTTCAAAGCCAGAGCAATGTCAAAGTGTTTATGAAGACAAAGAAAATACTTGTTTTAGCTTTAATTTCTAAAGCTCATTGTATTGGTTTCATTACACAAATATGAATACTCCAAATATTCCAAACACCTGAACTACCAATGTAATGTTTTTATATATTTTTTCTTAGATATGTCAGCATTCTCACCCTGGTCAGAGTGCGGACGGAGCAGAAAGGTCTCTACACTGCTCGTGTTACTAATGGAGATGACACTAAGGAAATAACTTTTGACTTGGAGGTGCAAGGTGGGCTTAAAAAAATCCCACAATTTGTTCTTATTTTTACCTTTTATTCACTGTATGTTTTGATTGCTTTTTTTTACTGTTTTTTGTGCAGTTCCAGCTCAGATTAAAGACCTCAGTGATCACCCACTCCCTGGGAAAAGGCACATGGTGACTTGTTTGGCTGAGGGTGTCCCAACTCCATCCATTCAGTGGTACAGCTGTGACAGTATGCTCAAGTTAGTAATACTTATATTCACTGTATGTACACTAGGGGGCGCCCTGAACGCATTTATTGATCTCTACAGTTATTTTGTAGTGACAAATGCATAGAAGTATATTGTAATGATTCCCTTGGTAAGTATCACACTGATCACTGATGGTATTACAGGTGTAGTAATCAGACAGCTGTTTGGCGCCCACTGGTCCCAGAGCCGGAGGTCCTGAGCGTCCAAACCAACGTGAGCTACAGCGAGGCCCGAAAAGTCAACCAGGTGTGGAGTCAGGTGACCTTCCACAAACCGCAGCACGTGACGGTGCGCTGTGCAACCAACAACAGAGCGGGACATGCCGATAAGAGAGATGTCAAACTAGTGTCCAGCAGTGAGTGATTTATCTTAACTGACTAGTAAACCATATAGAAAATAATACTGCTGAAAATAATACTAACTGCTAAATTATTATATATTACCAAATGTTGCTTTTAGTTATGTTGTCCCTCATATTATATAAAAAATAATGCTTTCAGTTGCTACCATTTAATTCATTTGATTCTTTTAAAGGAAATTTAAGTCTGGTGCATGTGGTTAGTTTTAGTAGGAAGCCCTGAACAATTTATAAGATCAACATAATTTTCTATTTTTATCCCCACTTGCGGACACAGTTCAGTATTCAGTTCTGTATTTTTCACTCAGTATTACAACATAGCTCACATTTTCATAGTATGCTAAACTTATACACAGCTGTTTGTTTCTGGTTGTATTGCAGCATTGTTCTCCCAGGTGGCAGTGTTGGCTGCAGTTTTAGCCCTAGTGGTCATCATTATCATGTCCTTCATCATTCTTATTGCTGTGTGGAGGAAGGTAAGACTAACAAACATTTTTTATTATTTAAAGTTGCATTGTGCAGCTTTTCTGGTGGTGGGTCCGCTGCCTACTTGTATCCATGGAGATTTTTATTGCTTTGCCCATTGTATGACATTAAACATATCTATTTAGCATTTATTCATTACGGGTGTTTCTATTACTCAAAAATACTATAATTTCTTCTGTGAATACGGGCGGCTTTCCACAGATCTGAACTGTAATGTAGCTCTAACCTGCTTGTCTACCTTGTGATATATAGGTTAGGTTTAATCTATCTTGTGAAACATTCTAGACAAAGCAGTAACATTTCCATAAAGACATTCCCTCCACTAGAAATGTTACGCAGCGCACCTTGCATTGTTGCATTTTTGCATAATATAAAATTGTTTTTTTTGTCTCTAGAAACCGCGCTATGAGATCCGATGGAAGGTGATAGAGTCTGTAAGTCAGGACGGTCATGAGTACATTTATGTGGACCCCATTCATTTGCCCTATGACCTGATTTGGGAAATGCCCCGCGATCACCTGGTTCTGGGTGAGCCCTTACTCCAATAATGAACATTTATTTAAAATTTGTGTAAATATAAGGAAAAACATGACTCTTAACTGGCCTGAAGAAAAAAAAAAAAAAAAAAACAGCCAAAAGTTTGAGTGCCGGTTTAAATGATGAAAAACAGGAAAAACTAAATATATATTTTTCTTTTTTTATTGCACCATATGCACAAATATTGTATAACATTGGACTTAATAACAGGTTGTGTCTCTAACTATTTTATTAGGTATTATGCATTTATTATGATTATAATGTGTGTGGCCTGTATTTGATTCCATATAACATTTTAAATCAGTACTTCAGTGTGTGTGGTTCATTCATATCTTTACACAATGATCTCTGTTTGGTTTTCACAGGTCGTACACTTGGGTCTGGAGCCTTTGGCAGGGTCGTCGAGGCAACTGCGTACGGTCTCACTCATTCCCAGTCCAGCACAAAAGTGGCAGTCAAAATGCTGAAATGTAAGACAAAACAAACGATTTAAAGTGTTAATTGTTCATATTGTATTGACTTGAGTAGCCCTTTGAAAACCCTTTAGATTAGTTTGACACCTTCACTATATTCCGGTGTGGACATGAATATTTCACTAGCATCACTGTAAAAGCCTAATCAAGCTGAGTTTTAGTTTTTCTGCCAGACTGCGTTTAGCTTTGCGCCAGGGGGGCTTTGAGCCATTTGGCATGGGCACTCTACGAGTCCTGTCCTGGATCTGAATTGGTCTCACGGCTCTTTGTTTGTGCAGCTACAGCGCGGAGGTCTGAAACACAGGCGCTCATGTCTGAACTGAAGATCATGAGCCATCTGGGACCACACCTCAACATCGTGAACCTGCTCGGAGCCTGCACAAAGCACGGTCAGCCTCTCCCTCAAATAAATAATTTCCCAACTTTAACATAAGGTTGTTTTAAATAGGGCTGCCACAATTGATCGTTTTTTATTTTATCGTTATCTAGACTATAAGACTCTGAAACATATGCCAAAAGATGCTTGTGTAAGACAAAGGGGCATTATGAAATCAAAATGTCAAAAAAATAATACTTTAAATAATAATTCTCTAACTAAGAATGCACAGGCAGTATATTTTAGCCTCACCTATTTGGTTAAAATTGTAGACATTAGAGCCTTTAGCATAATGGAAAAAAATAAAATAAAATGCCCATGCTGAATGCCCATGATCTTAATAGTACCATTTATTTTCTTATAAAGATATATATTCAGAAGGTCACGTCACTTTTTAAACTGCTTTTTATTAAGTTGAACATTAATTTTGTGTTGTACAAACAATGTTTCAGCAGAGACATTTAAGTTTAGTTTTGCAAAAATGTCATATGGGCAAACTGGGCATGTAATTGTTCAAAGACCATTCTGTCTAAAAATGCAGAAAATGTCATTAGTCACACTGAACAGTCTGTGATATAGATCATTTTATTTCCTAACAAATTAATCCCCATGATTTTCTATATAAGGAAATACATACAAACAACCATTTTATCAGATTTGGTACAGAGCAACTTAAAATGTATTTAAGGTCATCATATTTGCCACAGCTGTAGTACAATCTGGCAACAACTGCAATAAAAGCCAAATGCATTCACAATCACAAGAAGTACTTTTTAATCGTTCCTTGATGTCCTGCAAGCTTTCAAAGTGTATTGCAATTTTAATCATTTTACTCCCTGGCTGACGGTTAGAGCAATTAATTAAATTGGAATTGCAATTCAGTCATTTCTAATCATCAATGATGTGCTTGGATCTTTTCAGCTGAGAGGGCTGCAGCCAATTCTCTGTCAGTAAAAGCATGTGGGTTGGAGCTGAGTTCAGATTTTAGAGGAAGAGATTTGTTATTTTTTGTGTTAAATGGCAATGAAAAAAGTCTCCATTGTTTTCAAATTAATACTTGAAAGCCCTGTTTTTATCAAGACAAAAAAAATATTATAATATGAGGAAAAAAGTAGCATTGTAAATTTTGTCATATCGCCCAGGCCAAAATAGCTGCAATTGCAAGTTAGTGTTCCATAGTAATGGCCAGTGTCTAGCTGCTAATGCAGTTTTCTAAAATACTATCCTGCTTAACTTTTGTAAATGGTGTTTTTTTAACATTTCAGGCCCTCTGTATTTGGTAACCGAATACTGTCGCTATGGAGACCTGGTAGACTACCTGCACAGGAACAAACACACCTTCCTCCAATACTACGCTGAGAAAAACCAGGACAATGACTCATTCATCTCCAGAGGAAGCACCCCACTTAGCCAGCGTAAAGGGTATGTGCCACTTAATAATTCTGTATGCTAAGGGGGGTTTTGTCATTTTCAACAGCCTTGAATGTGTTTCCTCTTCATAATGTGTATGTATGTGTGAGAAATCTTCATTTGGGCCATTGCATTTCACACTTTATGTATTTCCCTCAGCTATGTGTCCTTCGGAAGTGAGAGTGATGGAGGCTATATGGACATGACCAAAGACGAGCTGTCCGTGTATGTCCCAATGCATGAGCAGAGTGACACTATTAAATATGCAGACATCCAGCCTTCTCCATACGAGGCCACATATCAGCAGGACATCTACCAAGAACAAGGTGGGACACAGCATAATGTGGAAATATATGTCTTTTTAAAGGGCCCATATTACACTATTTTCTGATCTGTATTATAACGTTGTTTCCTCATCAAAAACATCCCTGGAGTTGTGTTTTGTTTCATTCACACATGTTTAACACACAAACCCTGCATATTTAGGCTGTGTTTTTGTGTCAAGCAAAACAGAAACAAAAACAAAAAAACAAGAACATTGTTACAGGAAGTGCTCCACTGTGTTTTTAAAACTACACATTTTTTCAGTAGAATAATTTGGATAATATCTACTAAACAAAAGGTAAAGGTAGCTGAAAATTACTACTTCATGACATCACAAGGTGGAACAAGTGAAGATAGACTGATGGTAAAGGTTTACTTGAACATGTGTGAATGAAACAAAGCACAACTCAAACAACATTATAACATGGCTTAAAGCTCATAAGAATAATTTTTATGCAATATAGAAAAAAAAAAGCTAGAAAATATGAGACAAAACAAAGTTACAAAATGTTCATTAATTTAAATGGATCATGAATCATTTTAATGATGGATCATTAAAAATCACCATTAAAAATATATGTTATAGGTTGGTCGTCTAGTTCAGCTATTTATTTGTGCCACACTAGCCCTAAATTTCACTATATGTTAAAGTATCAAAGAAAATGGTACTGAGTTCTGTACATCACTCTTATTTTAAACACAGTTGCAATGAAAATCAAAATTAATCTTTTTTTCTTGGCCCATACGGAAATAGTACATGAAACTGACACATGGTAAAGAACTCCTTCTACTGGACACAGGCAGTTCAGTTTTTCCAGTAACACCCAATGATTAATTCACACTTTAAAGGTGCACTTCGTAACTTTTCTTGGGAAGTGTACATCACATGCTACTGTCCATGTAGATGTACTTAACAAGGTATAAATCAGTTCAGTGGAAACAAATGTTCTTGTGCATGTTCTTAAAGATATATGTAAACAATAAAATCACCTCTAGTGAAACAGAGGCTGAATAGACTTTTAATGACATACTGTGGAACATACCAGGCAAAAGAAAAAAATGTGGTCTACCCTCCATCAGAAAAGTTACACAATGCACCTTTAAAATACTGACCTTCTCCTGTCTTGTGATTGTTTTTAGGTGGCGGCCGATTGGACTTGGTGATCAGTGACTCTCCTGCTCTCACCTATAATGACCTACTAGGCTTTAGCTTCCAAGTGGCGAAGGGCATGGAGTTCCTTGCATCTAAAAATGTACAAATACCTTTAAACCACACTTGCACAGTTTCCTGTCATAATCAGTTGGTTTCAATGAATAGAGTGTATTTATTGGATGTTATGATTTTCTGTTTATGCTACTGCAGTGTGTCCATCGTGATCTTGCTGCTAGAAACGTATTAATCTGCGAAGGCAAACTGGTGAAGATTTGTGACTTTGGTCTTGCCAGGGACATTATGCATGACTCGAACTACATTTCCAAAGGCAGTGTAAGTAGGGCTGTTTACTGCTGTTGTAATTCTCAATAAATGTTTTGTTTAACGCCACAGGCACAGGCTTGACATTGTCAAGCTGCACCTAAAGATGATTTATTGTTTCATAGAATAAACTTTAATCCATAACTTCAAAATTAAACTGTACTAGAAGTACTGCCCAAGATTTTGATGGATTGCACAAAAGGATTTTTTATATGTAATTCTGAACATTTAAGTTCAGAACTCCAAAAATCCCCATTTGCAGTTCGATCTACTCAAGATCGAACTGCAAATGCTAAATATAATATTTACTGTTTGTATATACTTGTAATCCATGGTTATCCATGTTTCTCACATAAACTGTGTTTATTTTATTTATTTAGAAATTTCAAATGAATATATTTAAATGTAAGATGTTTTCTATACACATGCATTGTCTCACCTTAAAGTAAGCCCATGTAAATAGGTCATCTTACCACATACAGTGAACTGAACTTGTGTCCTGTTTCTGTTTAGACCTTCCTGCCCCTGAAATGGATGGCACCAGAGAGCATTTTCCATAATTTGTACACCACCTTAAGCGATGTGTGGTCATATGGCATCCTTCTATGGGAGATTTTCACCCTGGGTTAGTCATACTCTCATCACATATCCTTTAAAATACTTGTAAGTGTCATGCCCTCAAACCTATTGGTCTGATATATAGAACTTCATGACAACCTTAATATATGGGATGATTTTCTACTATTGTTTGGGGCTTAATTAAGTATGACAAGGTGGTTTTGACTGGCTATTTAACTTTGGACTGATTAGGCTCAAACTATTTACCATATACAGTACCATATACATTAAACTGGAAAACTGGGAAACTATGTAAAATCTTGGCAACGTCACCTGTATGAATGAAAATAAAAATAAAAATCCAAAACCAAAAACTGGCAGGAGGAAGCCCCCTTCAGGCCAAATAGTCAGATTTGTGATGCAAGCCCACTTAGAGTAAGGACACTGGTCTATGGAGGTGTGTGTGAATGGGTGAGAGGTTCCTTGTTGTAAAGTACTTTGAGTGCCTTGAAGGTGGAAACATGCTATATAAAAATGTGACCATTTACCATTTTCTACTATATGTTAATTTTAGCTGATGTTTTGACTAAAATGTTACACAGTGAGGCTTTAACTATCACAAACAATTTAAAAAACTACTGAATGTCAGCAACCACTTAAGGTTACTGTCATTTCTATAGGCTACAATAAATCATAACCTTCTACTAGAAAACTGTCTTGTTTCCAGGTGTGTTGAACAATACAAAAATCTCTAAATATTTAAGTTTGGACAATAACAAGAGCCTAGACTTTTGAAGACTCATGAGGACTCAATCTCGTTAGGCACAGTCAAGCTTTGAAATCAGCATTTCCGTGCTGACGGTATTGTGAGCCCTCTCTTTGTTTTTTTTTTACTCTCTTCCCACGATTTTGTCAAACCATAAAAACAAGGATGACAGTTTAGTGCATTTGCAGTATCCCCTGAACAACCAAAAACAAACTCACAATCCTCCCTCTGTGCACACTACCAAAGCTCCTCTGTGCAGCTCGGTCTGGATCTCAGATCACAGACTTTTATATCATTTCTGTCCTCTATTTGGGAACAAACAGTTTTACAGCAGGGCCCAGGACAAATAAAGTCTGCTTTCTGATGCTAATAAATATGTGAATTTTATTACAGGAGGAACACCATACCCTGACTTACCCATGAATGAACTGTTCTACAATGCCCTGAAGAGAGGCTATAGGATGAACAAACCAGCCCATGCATCAGATGAAGTGTAAGTGCTGTTCATATACATAGATTAAAGTTGCACTTTATCAGTGGAGAGACACTTGCTTGGCTCCATGGAAATGTTACTTTGCCTAGAATGTTCCATAGTAAGGCATTAAACTTTTCAAGGTTCTTTTGCATTTTCTGCCATTGAATAAATGTAAAATTGATACGTTTAATGCCACACTGTATCATTTCCAGCCAAAAATAATCTCCATGGAGAACAAAAAACAACAAAAAACCTCATTAGGGATTACCAGTTACAGGCTGGTTAGGTTAATGCTTATCTTGTAAATGCTACATATTAGGCATCTGGTTATACAAAACATTTCAACCACAAATATTAAAAGCTAAATGTTTATAATGCCTAAATTGTGTATGCTGAAATATAATAAAGTGTATAATATTTCCCCTTTAATTAATCGGATATTGTTGTGTGGTAGATATGAGATAATGAAGAAGTGCTGGGATGAGAAGTACGAGAAGAGACCGGAGTTCTCCAGTCTGGTCCACAGTGTTGGAAACATGCTCAGTGACAGCTACAAAAAGGTAGAGTTCTAAACAGCAGCAGCCATACACATTTATTTTACTTAATCTGCTACAAAATGCCACAGATTACAAACTTTCAAATCTTACTTTGTTCTTCAGTAATTTTATTTCACTCATTACCACTTTTACAGACATTCACATGCTTCCATACAAAAGCCTGCCTCTCTGCCCTCTAGTGGTGACCAGGATATTTGCAATATATAGTTACTGTACCAAAATGGGACTCAGTGAAGGTTGTGCACTGTTTTGCCCATACTGTATAATTTGTATATATTCAGTCAAAGTCTATTTTTGATTTTTGTTTACCTTATTTTTAATGCCTGTCCCTATTTTAATTTGATCATAGCTTATATTTACTATTATTCACTATGTATTATGGTACCATATTATCAAAGCAAGTTGCTAGTATACTCTGTCACCTTGCGATGCCATGAAGTGGTGGTTTTCAAGTTAAAAGTGACTTTTTACCTTTAGTTCAGCAAAGATGGGCAGTTCCAGGACTGAAATGATTCAAATGATTCTAGTGAAGGCATATTGAGTTTAAAAACACAGTGGAGCACTTCCTGTATTACCACATGACATCACAAAGTTGAACAAAACAGTTTTCTGTTTGATAGAAGAACTCAGGCTAAATATGTGGCGATACTGTGTGTGAATGAAACAAAACACCACTCGAGGTATGTTTTTGATGAAGAAACAACATCATAACTTAGATTAGAAAGTAGCAAAATATTCACCCTTTAAATTTTGAGTTCAGTTACCAAAGAAAAAAACAAAACAAAACAGCAACAACAGCAGTAACTTGAACACACAGAGATGTCAACCACAAACAAGATGGTGTCACTAACTGGTCAAATTAGAGACAGAGTTCCTGGAGAAGAAAAGGGTCACATGACTTTTGGTTGACACAGCACCTATGAAAAAAAGTCATATTTAAAATGGCCGGTGAAGATTTTGTGAATAATAATTTGTGTTCGTGTGATTCTAAGAAGCCTATAGTTAGGCTCACCACACCGCAATTCTACGGTGGATTTACGGTTAACAGTTTAACCGTAAATTCACAGTAGCAGTGTGATTTTTGGTTATCATTGATCACTGGGCCCAACCACATGAAACAAACTGTCACAAAGTTCAAAGCTGAAATTATAAATCCACTATTGCGTGTGGTAAGTTTAGTAGTGGTCAGCTGACAGGTTTTAAGGCAGCACAAACAATAATAAAGTTAAACATGGTTCATTGCCATTGGACTAATTTTTATATCAAAGGTGAGTATCAGATACCAGAATGTAAACCCAATCTATGTTTAAATTCTAATAATGAAACTACATTATATAACTTTATTTTGTTTAGTTTTGTTTCATTTACACATGTTGGAGTAACACTTTATTATTATTCTGTCTATATCTCATGTAACGTTTTCAAGTTGACAGCTGCCATTCACCTTTAGTTCAGTAGAGATGGGCCATTCCAGGGCTCACATCATCCAAATGATTATACTGAAGGTGTATGGAGTTTAAAAACACATCAGAGCTCTATTACCACATGACGTCACAAGATGGAAAAGAGTGTTTCTGTTTTAGAGAAGAACTCAGCCTAAATATGCAGGGTTTGTGTGTTAAACATGAATGAAACGAAACAAATCCAGGCATGTTTTTGAAGTGTAAACAATGTTATAACAACTTATATCAGAAAAGAGTGTCATATGGGCCATTTAACCATGGGGAAAAAGTTAGTATTTTTTTTTTACATAAAAAACAGCTGTCTTTTAAATAGGGTTGTAGGGTTTTAAAGGCACTATATAAAAGCAGTTGAATTAAAGTTTAAGATCACATAATTGCTTAGTGCTTAATGTCTATTTTCACATAATGAAAACCTATCTTTTTAATAGGACTTTAAACTTTTATGGACACATTATATAATTAGTTAGTTCCATAGGCTTGTTTATTATCTCTGACAAATGAACCTGCTTTTCTGTGAACAGAAATACAGCCAGGTGAATGATAACTTCATGAAGAGTGAGCACCCTGCTGTGATCCGGGCCAAACCCAGACTGTCCTCCCCATTCCTCACCTCCAGCCCTGCATTTGGTGTTCCATCTCCTCGGGACCGCTCCTCTCCTTTGGGTCACAACCACCAGCACCAACACAGCCAGCTTCCCAGAACCTACAGGCACCAGCAGCCGGACACAGAGGACCCCCTGCCCTCCTACAACGATTACATCATCCCCATCCCGGACCCCAAACCAGATGAAGTCTTCACAGATGTCCAGTCAGAAAGCCCTGGAAGGTATGCAGTCTCCTAAAACCAGACAGAACCAAAACAAAGCCAAATGCTGCTCTTGTAAAAGAGATAATGGCTTGTTTTGTTAAAGGGGACATACATTTTGGAAAATTTACTTTTATAAGCTTTCAAACAAACATGGTGTACCATCATTATCCTACTCAAAGTTGTATGTATTATAATTAATTTATGTATGTTTGAGTTATGTGATATCGTCCTCCATTTGGGGGTTGAGGGCTCAAAAATTTTCTGTTATCACCTACCAACTATCCCTATCTTGTAGTTACTTGCGATTATTCAGAACATTTAAATTCCAGGTCATACATGTAGGGTTAAAAAATGTCTCATAGCCATTTTTCATCAATAAAAATAAATACAAATCAGCTGCTTCCGCACTGAAATGCAGTACTATACAGTATCAGTATCAATGAATCTATTTCTAATATTAAGCTGTTTAAGAGTAATTTTTCAGTTAACAATGTACAAATGATAACCTGCGTGTGTTATAATTTCATTCTAGATACTAGAAAAAAAAAAAAAAACACACAGTATCTTCCCTAATGACCACACACTCATTCGTGCAGCTGTTGGACTCATACAAAAGCACCAGATGATTGTGTCTTGTGATTATTTTATGCTTTTGAAGTCTTTTTGTTTTTATATTAAACATTTGAGACTGGGCCTTAAAATGACAGATGTGACAGATTTATTCCTCCCTAATGATCATAAAAGCAGGAAGTGCTTGTGATTTATATTAAAATAATTGGTTTCATCTGAAAACCAAGAATGAAATCTGCTTTGGTCCTCATCAGTTGTGTATTAATCAAATGTAAATGTGTAGATGTGGGTTATGAGGGGGATTTTGTTAAAAAGGGGAAGTTGACGGGTTGGCTCTTGTAGTCTGGGACATTTATAAATTTGTTCTGTTTTCAGAGTGACTCATATCAGACGGAGTTTTAAAACTGTCTTTTGTTTTTCCTGCTCATAGCTCCATGGCTCTGGAGGAGGTAGAGACTGACTCGATGGACACTGCGGATACACTCCCCGAAGAGGACAGGCTAGAGGGCAGTAGTGAGCGCGACGCCTTACTGGGCCGACCCGAGACGCCAGAGATAGAAGACAGCTTCCTCTAGCCTCCCTGTGTGGGACAACCATCCAAATTGAGCCTTTTCAAAAATCGTATTCACCTTATTCCGGAAGTTGCTGTGGGCGCCACAGTCATCATTCGGGTTGTATTATTTTGTATGGGGCTGTCGATCATAACGGCAAATAAGTTCAATATGGACTATAAAGCCATTTTAAAGTGAATGGGTACAGTGTGACTTGTTGGTGCACATGAACACTGAACATTTTACATAAATTAACTTACTTTATGTCATATTTTTGCTGCAAAATTTTTCCCAAATTCTCAATGAAATGAATGTGTCCCCATTTAACCCCCGTTTAAGTGCCACCATAAGAAAGCACGATTTAGGAGTGTTTAGAGACAGAAGTGGGTGGGGCGGAATAAGGTGAATAAAACAATGCTTTGAAACATGACTAAAGTAGAATGTAGCAGCTGAGAAATCAATCATTGTATTTCCAGTAGGCACTCATGGACGCTCTGTTTTTTGGTTTGTTTGTTTGTGTGTTTGTTTGTTTTTTACTTTTACTATGAAAATTACATGTGGTACTTCTCTAGGAACTGTACAATATCTTTTGAAGAAGATTAAAAACAATTTTTTTCCTATTAGGTACATTTAAAGGGGACATGTTCCAAAGTTGCATTTTGAAGCAGCATCTCTCAGTTCTGCAGATCAGTATTGCGATTAACAATTAACATCATGCTAAATCATGATCTACCTATGTACTAAATACCCCAAAAAGTATAATATGTCTTTTTAATCATACCTATTAAAAGCAGCATAAATCACGTTTTTGTATTAAAGGAATTGTATTACACAAATTTCTGATCTGTGTTATAATATTGTTTCCTCATCAAAAACATACCCGGAGTTGTGTTTGTTACATTTACACATGTTTAACACACAGACCCTGCATATTTAGGCTGAGATCATCTTCTCTCTTACTAAAAAAATGTGTGAATCAAACAAAACACCACGGCAGGTATGTTTCTGATGAGGTAACAACATTATAACATGGCTTAAAGCTCTTGAGAGCTTTGTGTGTCAATTTTGTGTAATATAGGACCTTTAAAAGGACCATTGGAGATGTAGCATTTGTATTACAACTATTTGTATGCAGTGTTTTATAATGTAACAAATTGACTGCACATGCACTGATACATGAACTGAAACTTAGCTTTAGCTTTTAGTCAGTCATCCAGTCTATTTTAAAGCTATTTCTATCGAATAAAATGTTCTTTTGCTCATTGATGTTGAATAACTCTGAAGTAGAATAGACTTTATACATTTTTGCACTTTATTATGAAATATATAGAATCATATAGATTTCTACACAGTTTATGCATTACCAAGAAACTAGAAAAGATTATTTTAAAGAATGAGCACCTGCGTTTGTGATGGTGGGTGCCTCAGGTGAACAGCGTGTCACTGCCTTATGCCTTTGTTTAAACTGAGTACAACTGTGGATTTTATCTCGCAGCTAATGTTATTCACCAACATGAAAGGCTCTTGTTCACTTGTTTCGCCTTATGTGTACATATGCTTCCATTTGAATTCACTTGAGTCATTTGCTTGTTTTAGTCCTTTCTAAATCATGCACAATCACTGTAAAACACGCTCTTGTACCAAAGCTCTTCCTGATGTTTACAAATGTATTTTTATATGTATCTGTAACAGTGACAATAAAGTATTATTGTCATCATTTACACTTACAGTTTTGATTATTTTTATCTGATACATGTGGGAGATTAACCTAATTAAGGCATTATGCAATGAAAAGATGGAGTTTCTAGACTTTACCCAAAAATCTCACAGTTCAGGGATAAAATTGTGCCTTGACACAAATGTTCTTCATGTAAATCCCCCCACTTGTGGTTGGGACATTTTTTGTTTTGGGGATAAATAAAGAAAAAAATTATAACTGATGCGTAATTTATATAACAAATATTTCAGTAGTTAATTTGCAAGAACACAGACCTCAGTTTTAAAAATGTCATTCTTCTACATATATTGTTAATAACAATTACAAACTTTTTTTGTAAGACATTTTTTTTACTTTGTTACTTCTGCTTTTGCAAATGAGCTTTATTGAAAATGTTACAAAAGCAGACTTAGAATATTTGACTTAAAATTTCAAATGTAACCTATGGTATAATCCGTGCTTGTACTGTTAGCACTGTGTCCGGCAGTGACTGAAGTGATTGGTCCCGGGGGAGTCGCACTCCTCTGTGACAAATTGGCACCAGCTCATTAATTTCTTGAGCATGATGTGAACCCGCCTCCTCACACTCCACCCTCCACTTGCAGCTTGTTGTTAGATTTCATGTTTGCAGTGTGACTTTGTGTCTGGGAAGGTAAACAACAAGAAGTGAGAGAATAAGAGGGGCCAGGGTACACAGAAGTGGATACTCATGTTAAATCTGGATGCTACTTCTACAGATTATACAGTGAGAGCTTCCCAACTAAAAGCAGGTGAGTACAACAAAAAGTCTGAAACAACTTTATCACGAGTCTTGTGTGACAAAAAAAGTGTCACTGTGTATTACTGTATTTCCTCTTGTAGTGTCAAGACAGAGGAGTGTGTCTCTGTACACACTGGGCTCTGAGCTGATCCATGATGCTGGCTCTTCTTACTCTGCTGCTGGGACTCACAGCCTCTGCTGCCTCAGGTAAGGCCAGACACAACCCGATTTCAGCTTGAACAAAATTTACATTACATCGCAAATAGTAAACACATTTAAAAAGTATTCTGCACAATCTCCTTTTATGACAGAATGACACACACACAGAAAAACAAAAAACAAAAGAACAACCACACCAATACAAAAACCATACCTCTAAATGACAAAATAATAAAAATAATAGGTACATTTTATTAAGTACAAACATCTAAAGGGAAACTGTATCCTGGAATTCTCTTCATGCATTATTGTTGGAGGCTTAGTAACATTATGGAGTATTTTACTGCACTATACTACATGTTTATAGCCACTCAATGTTTATCTGAGAGTGGAGGAAATTATGACCTGTATTGTAACTCCTAGAACAGGTTAAATTATTAAAATAATATTTGCTTTTTGATTTGTTTAATTTGAGTCACTATGTTGCATTACATAAAATACTTAAAGCGTTAAAATGACTCAAATACATTTAATGTAAACATACTGCTAAGGTAAAATATTACAGCACCCATCATTAAAGTACTAAAGATTACTATTTGGAATTATAAATGTATTGGAGTATGTACAGATACCTTTTTTCAAACATAGTGAGAAAAGTATAGGGAAAAAAATTACTTATGTGCCAGCTGATTCTACTCCTGAGGTCCATTTTTATAATCTTATGTTACATTTTTGCCTTGGACTGAATCTTATTGACTGAATTATAAAGCGTGAAACATACCATTATCAATGCACTAGTTTAATCAGTGCTTTCTGGTATGGGTCCCTCTGTATGAATGTTTTATATACAGCCTATTCTCGCCATTTGACCTTCCGTTGTGTCTAATGAGAGGCAAAGAGACATATGACATTTCAGCTGGTTCTTGTAATTCATGTTTTTGTTTTGCCTTTTTCCTCCTTCACTGTCTACAGCTGTTACCTGCTGACTGTTTAAACTCAATTATACTTTCTTTGTCGTGCGTAACTAATTAAGACACTTGATAAGCAACAGTTTGCTCTGTCCTGTGATGAACTGGGTTTAATTGGGGTCATATTGGGGTTGTGGGAACTGCCAATTTGAGAAGAGTAACAGTTATTAACATATTCAGTGCATAAGCGTGAGTGTTTTCTCAGCATTATTTTACATGACATTAAGGCAAAAAAAGTGCTGAGTGGGCAATCTCACTTCTCTTTAAGGGTAAAAATTTTAAAATGAATCTACTTCTTCTACAAAACCAATATCTTAAAAACAACAAAGGATTCTCAACATAATTCATGATTAATCTGAGCTTCTGACCTTGTGTAATCAAAACATCACTGTTCTTCTGTCTATGAAACTAGCATCTTGGTGCCTTCAGGGCTCTGCAGTCTCACCCTAAAATATTGATTATCTAAGGATACTAAATGTACTGGGTTTTGATCCCAAAATGTTGCATATGTTGTGTGCAATATTGTGTGAACATAGCATGCAACAGTGTTATAAATTAGGGACATTTTAGGGGACAATCTAGTACATACAAAAACAGTATTGAGTCGAGGATCAAAGCACCGATTCTTAAAACTACCATAGAAAATGAACATTTTAACATATCTGGTTTAAATCAGGTTTCATTCAGGACCTAAACAGTTCTAAACAAGGACCACTTTCATAACAAAGATGTGTGGTACAAAGTACATTTTTGACAGAGCTGCACTAAAACTGAATGAAGTCAAAATTGCACAAAATCTATAGACCATAATCAGCATACATGCCCACAGTTATAAATTTACCACATTTAACTGCTACCAAAATAGTGGTGTAAGAATACTCAATGTTGCAATACTTAAAAATACAAGAGAGAAATGAAGGTAAAATGTTACCCATTATCAAAGATTACTATTTAAGTTAAGAATTGAGCAAATCTGCTAAAACCTCACTATCAGCTCTTTCAACAGGGCTCAAAACACATGTAAAATACTTGATACTTTTCATCTAGTTCAAAAATGTGTCGGCGTATAATGTACATATACCCTTTTTCAAGTGTAGCGTGAAAAGTACGAGGAAAAATACCCTAAAAATTAGGCCTACATAAGTGTATTACTTTTCATTTCTTTTCCTCCACTGAACTAAATGAATGTAAAATATAAATATAATTTTAATATTATGTCATTGTGTGTTTCAGTGGAGTGGAGGCGCCCTGTGATTATGTTTAACTCCAAAGTGCTGACGCGCCCCGAGGTGGTGGTGAGGATGGGCACACAGCTTGACCTGCGCTGTGAGGGCGACGGTCCCGTGAACTGGCGCCCGCGTTTACCCAAACACCGGCGCTACATCTCCAAACAAAGGGGCACTGTCCAGACGCTCAGAGTGGAGCGGCCAACTGCAGAATTCACGGGGACTTATGTGTGTTATTATACCAGTGAGCCACAGCAAAGCGAGCTCACCGCCTCCGTGCATGTCTATGTCAGAGGTGAGTGCGAAGAACAAGAGGACACATACTAGGGTCTTCTCTTGAGACTTTGCAGCTGATGTCATCAATATTACCTGGGGGTGTGAAACTAACTGGAAGCACTGCTCTGATAGAAGCTGCTACTGAAATTATACTCTTATCTGAGCTTTGTTTAACACAATATGTCCAGAAAGAGCTAGTTTATTTGGAACTACAACATAAGTTAGACAGCATCAGCCAACAGGTTTTCAGTTAGTCACTCTCGCCTCTGTGTTGAAAATCAGTCACCTAAACAGGACCATGAACGCTCGTATTGATCACAGGCTCCTGAAAATGTGTTGTTTAAATCCATGTTGCATTTTTTCTTGTTTTCAGACTTAAAATCTTAAAAGTTTTTAATCACTCTCAGCATGATGTTACTGTAAAGTGACTATTGATTTATACATGTCCATACCAGATCCACTCTTGGGTTTCAAGTTCAGTTAGAGGGTAGGTGAGAATTTAAACGTGCTCTATGTAATTGTTCCGGTGGAGAGCCTGTCTTCATGGAGATGTTATTGCTTTGTCCTGAATGTTCCACAGTATGGCAACAAATGTATCTACAGTATCTCCATGGAAAGAAACAGGTGGTCAGATCAAATCTGTGGAGTGCTTACTGTAAGAATGCAAGCCATACAGTGGAACATTCAAAGTCACATCATCTCCATGGAGACAAGCAGCTGACGAATGCCCCTCCACAAAAGTTACACAGTGAACCTTGTAAAAAGTGCATTTATTTTTGAGTAGGTAATTGCTACGGAAAACTGACTAATTGTTCATCACTGAAAGCCATGGATACTAAATCAAGTCTAAAATATAACTAAGCTATGACTAGTAGCTGTGGTTGTAAATGAAGACAACCCTAATGCGGATAAACACAAAAACTGAATAAAGTTAATTCAAAATAAACCAAAACTAGAACCAATAAATCATCAGAAAATGCCCACATACCTTCAGTGGTGTGAGAATAACAGTTTGAAAACACTGACTGCCCACCTAACTCACAAATATTCAGCATTATCTACCTCACAACAACTAAACATATGGACAGTTTTACCATGCATCTAGCAGTGGTCCTTTGGCTTTTAGATTTGTGTGTTTCTCTACATATCTTAATATACATATAGAATACCTTATATTTATTATTGCTGTAAATTTCCAATGCTTAACTCCATATATCCTTTGTCACTGGAGTTTCCTCAGAAGCTCGGGGTGGGTTCACACTTGCACAGTCATCATCACCAAATCAAAATTGGGACTAATCTGGAACTAAACCCCGAACTAAACATGGACTAAACCAGGATTATCTGAACGCAGCCTTTATTACATTCCTTGTCACTCCACGGTCTCTTTGCAGATCCTAACCGGCTGTTCTGGGCTAGCAGCAACCTCCTTCGTGTTGTGAAAAAGGAGGGAGAGGACTTCATGCTGCCGTGTCTCCTGACTGACCCCTCTGCCACAGACATAGGCCTGCGCATGGACAACGGCACCTCTGTCCCGCCGGGAATGAACTACACAGTGTACAAGCAGCGTGGCATCCTCATTCACAACCTCCACCCCAGCTTCAACGCCGACTATGTGCACGGCCAGAGTCAATGGAGTGGAGAAGACTTCCAAGGCGTTTTCCATCAATGTTATTCAAAGTAAGTTGTCTCCTATTGTTTGTAAAGCATCTCTGTGTGTCCAAAAACGTAACGTGCTATGTAAGTCTGATGTATTATTATTATTATTACTTTTCACCATTCAAATGTTGTAGAACATTTAGTTGATGTTACGGGTTTGTCAATGAAGCAAATCTTTTCATCACTCTAATTGATTGTTTGAAGCCTAACTAATTAACAGTCAGAAGTAACTCTAATATTTGGGATGGTATTTCTTTTGGTTTTGTTTCGGTTTTGTTATGGATGAAATGAGAATGACATATTGTTACGCTATACACTCAATAACAATAAACATTAAGTAAGTCCAGTTCTTTTAGGTTTAACTTGCTTATAATGTTATATTCTCAAAATTTGCATCAATATATGCTGAATATAGACTTCAATAGATAAGATGTTGTATTCATAAGACTTCACATCTAGAACATCTATATATAGCTTAAAATTGAGCTGGAAGGCATCTTAGAAATCAATGGTAGAATTTATCTTTTAACTGACAGATGATTAATATCTTGTAAATGTTGTAAATATTCACATGAAACACAATTCAGAATGTTTTTCCGTTCCTCTAGAGCTTCGGTTCCCTCCTTACGTCTTCCTGGATACAGATGAATACGTGCGCATTGTTGGAGAGGAACTGAAGATTCGCTGCTCTACACACAACCCCAACTTCAACTATAATGTTACATGGAAATATACCACTAAATCGGTCAGTACAATGCAGAAATCATTCAAAAATCTAGTTCCCTATAATAATTTCCTTTGCTTGACTCTAGAAGCCGATTATTGAGGAGAAGGTTAAATCAAATGGAGAAAATAGACTGGACATCCAAAGCACACTGACCATTTCGGCTGTGGACCTGGCAGACACTGGGAACATATCTTGTATCGGCACCAATGAAGCTGGAGTGAACAGTACAACAACATACCTGCTAGTAGTAGGTCGGCACACACTTGGGTCATTAAACAAATCAAATATGTAAGAAATTATACTAAAATATGTAAAATGTGTATTATTTTTAACAGATAAGCCCTACATCAGGTTACAACCCCAGCTCTCCCCGAAACTGGCCCATCGGGGTTTGTCTGTGGAGGTGAATGAAGGAGAGGACCTGGAGCTCAGTGTGGTTATAGAAGCATATCCTCATATTACTGAACACAAGTGGGTCACGCCAACCACCCCCAATACTTCCACACCAGAGTACAAGTTCATACGATACAACAACAGGTACAGATATCACAATACTCCTAGAGCTACAGTGTTTTGATTAGTTTCGAGAACAATTATCTTATTATCTTTAAGTGCAGCATTTGGTTTTCATGTTTGTCTATATTTTCTGTTTTAGATATTATGCTAGTCTTCATCTTAAAAGAATGAATGCTCATGAACAAGGCCAGTATACTTTCTATGCAGGGAACAATCTGGCCAACGCCTCAATCACATTTCAAGTCCAAATGTATCGTAAGTGAAACAGATTATAAAATACAATAAAAGAAAAATGATTACAGTGTCTATGAGACCTTTATTTCCTCTTGCATCACAGAGAGACCGATTGCAGTGGTCCGATGGGAAAATATTACCACACTCACATGCACCTCTTTTGGGTACCCTGCTCCGAGAATCATTTGGTACCAGTGTTTTGGGATCAGGCCCACGTGAGTAACATGTTTTATCTGTCAATCAAATATTGAATATTACTAATTGTGTATGAACTCCTCAGCTCTTCTTGTTATCCTTGTCACTACATAATGACCCTAATTAAGATCTGGAATCTTCCCTGATGGCAACATGAACAGACATGTATTTGATCATTTTATTCATAATCCCAATAATACAAGAATACAATATGTATACAATGGTAAAACCTGTTAGGACGTCAAAAATCTGTCTCCATGACTGACCTGAGCAGAGTGCTGATAATGAAATAGGAATGTGTTTTTAATCAGTAGTGTTATATCCATTGTTGTTGTGTGTTCAAGAATACTGTGTGACACAAAGGAAGAGCCAAAGAAAGACCAAAATTGAAATTGTACGGCTAGTTATTTTAGAGACAGATACTAAACCCACAATACATGTCCCCAGAGGAACCCAGAGTTGTAATTTGTGCATTTTCTAAACAGGTGTAAGGAGAATAACTCAGGGACCCAGATGCCCATCCCCCTGCAGGCACCCACAGTGGAGGTGCAGAGGGAGGAGTATGGGGCAGTGGAGGTGGAGAGCGTCCTCACTGTGGGACCCTCCAGACACAGAATGACTGTGGAGTGTGTGGCCTTCAACGTCGTGGGAGTGAGCAGTGACACTTTTGCCATGGAGGTGTCTGGTGAGTTAGAAATAGTGTTTTTATCCAATTTACATGAAGACTATCCAGCTCTACCTCACATTTACAGGTGCTTTTATAGCTCAAAAATACCTAGAAAAACAGGCACTCTGACTGTGAGTGGGGTTGCCTCTCCACAGATCTGATCTGTAACTTGGTCTGGTTTGGTCTCCATGAAGATAGAAAGGTTTAATACCATACTATGAAACATTCCAGACAAAGCAATAACATGTCCATGGAGGAAAGCACTTAACCACCAGAAAAGTTACACAATGCACCTTTAATAAAACATGAACAAAGATTGAATTCATAATGATCACATTTTTGCTAACGATTTGGGCTTAGTTACTAGTTCTTCTATTAGTTACTAAGCCTAAATCATTCCCAATAAACTATTTGTTCATTATGAATTAAATCTCTCCTATAATAGTGTTTATAAAAGTAATTACCAACTGTACTTAATTTACTTGTGAGTGTTCCCATGATCAGTGGCTCTCCATTTGATTGATCTTGCTCTGATGTTCATTTGTTTTAAAAACAACATTCAACAGTCAACTCATTGTGTTTTTGTTTGGCAGATAAGCTTTTCACATCCACTTTGTTCGGAGCTGGAGGGGTTCTGTCAGTGCTGCTTCTGCTTTTAGTGTTTCTCCTTTACAAATATAAACAGGTAAGTCAAGAGTTCATTTCTAACTTTTAAAAACTCATCTTTGTGAATGTTTCCAGGAGATGTAGTTTTACCTTTATTTTGTCAGAAACCAAGATATGAAATCAGATGGAAGATTATTGAAGCGAGTGATGGGAACAACTACACCTTTATTGATCCAACGCAGCTACCGTACAATGAGAAGTGGGAGTTTCCACGAGATAAACTCAAGCTAGGTAAGAATGTACTAACTTTTCTCCCTGTTGAAACTTTTTTGTCTGTATTATCACTTTGTTGATGTAAAACAAGATTAGCTTTTTGGCCACCGTTTTGTAGTGTTCACATTTTTCTCTGACAAAAGATATTCATTAGTTTCAACTCCCTGTTGTGTGTATATACTATGGACTTTTACCTACCAAAAGATTTAAAATTGTTAATTGCTATGGTAACAGTCATATTTTTTTTGTTATTATTATTTTGCAGGAAAGATCCTTGGTGCTGGTGCTTTTGGAAAAGTTGTTGAAGCCACAGCCTATGGTCTTGGAAAAGAGGACAATGTGACACGGGTGGCTGTCAAAATGTTAAAAGGTGATTTTCATTATAAAAGTCATTTGATGGTCCAAATATAATATAAATGAGACCTTATCATGTCTGTGGTGTTTCCTTTTTTAGCTAGTGCTCATTCAGACGAAAGGGAAGCGCTGATGTCTGAACTGAAGATCCTGAGTCATTTGGGACACCACAAGAACATTGTCAACTTGCTTGGTGCATGCACATACGGAGGTTAGACTGATCAACTTTGTACAATGTAGTAATGTAATGTAGTAATGTAGTTTAGTTTGTTGAACCTGGTGTAATGTGTTTTTATGTTTTCTTTTTGTCATTAGGTCCAGTGTTGGTGATAACAGAGTACTGCAGTCTGGGTGACCTCCTGAACTTTCTGCGACATAAGGCAGAGATGTTTATGAACTTTGTAATGGACATGCCTGAGATTGTGGAAAACGACTATAAGAATGTCTGCAATCAGAAACATTTCATACGGAGGTACAGGAGCCTTTTTAAACACACTACATATAACCATTTAAAACCTATAATATAAGTGGTGCATTATGTCCAATAGTGACAGTGGGATCTCCAGTACATCTTCAGGCAGCTATTTAGAAATGAGACCTACCCAGGCACCACACATCGAGTCATCTCAAGGTAAAGTGCCTCTATAAACACAGCATCTCCAGTTATGTTTTGTTATGTTTTTGTTTGTTTGTTTTTGTGTTTTTAACTTTTTAACTCTTTGTTTAAATACAGATACCGAATCAAATGTCGATTGGTCATTTGACATTGACGATTTGCTGCGGTTTTCCCTCCAAGTGGCTCAGGGTTTGGAGTTCCTTGCAAGTAAAAATGTAAGTATACAAAAGTGAAGTTTGGTCTTACTTTTAGAAAGTAGTATTGATACTGGGGGTGTTCTACATGTATAGTGGAATATTTAGCATTTTTTAGCACCATGGAGACACAGTGCACACATTAGCAATGCACAAATTATGCAAAATCATGCAGCTTCTACTTGCTTGCACAATTTTCCCTCCGTTACCTTTCCCTCCGTTACCATGACCTTTCTTAATAAAAAATCTCATTACTCAAAAAGTAAGAGGTTTTTCAACCTAATCTTGTACCATATGGTATTAAACTATATTAAGCAAATATTCAAACCAGTTTGTTAAGGATATGTAAGTGAGAACCGCTAGTTATCGCTGTTTGTATTTATTGCCCAAAAAGTGCTGCATATTTCATTCCCTCTGTTACCGACATGAGTTTTTAAGTTTTTGTCAACAACTTGAAAGAATATCACAGGTTTAACTTTACCCTGTTGGAGTGCTAACTCTTTCCTACATTCTAATACCTTACTTATTTCAATAGTCCCTGTAGTTTCTGAATAAGAGCTATTTGAATGTAAAACATCTGCCTGTTTCCCTCCGTTGACCGGACCCTAATGCTAGATTGTGATTGTAATTTTATGTGTGCGAGACTTGATTAACAGCATAAATGAGCTCATCTGTTGTAGTTCCAGCTAAGCCAGTTCTTTATGGTCAGATTGCGTTAAAACAAAACTCAGATTAATGCGTAACGTCTGTAACAAAGCTTAATACTGGCATGTCTAAATAGAGACATGTTGCAATGAAAGGATGTCGAAATAGGCGGCGGACCCTAGACAGGGTGGTGTCTACAGTTATCTTCACACCCCCAAGGAATGTTTATTACATCAGCTGCAAAGTATCAATCAATTATCAAGTTTAACCTCAATTAAGCACAAAACACTGATATGTTTCTTATTTTGGATGAAAGAAGGCTATTCTGAGAAGTATAATGAAGAATGGATAATTTGCTAGAGGGGTATTTCTCATTGAATTCCTTTTTATTATGGGTCATCCTAACAGTGTTTGAGGACATAGAACTGATTCTCATCTTATTGTTTTATTGTTGTTATGCGTGTGGCTATTTTTTTTACAGTGCATTCACCGAGACGTGGCAGCCAGGAATGTTCTTCTAACGGACCGCAGAGAGGCCAAGATCTGTGACTTTGGCCTGGCACGAGACATCATGAATGACTCCAACTATGTAGTAAAAGGAAATGTAAGTTCACTTCTGAGTTTAAAGTTGCACTATGTAAGTTTTTGCTTGGGGGTCTGTCATGTGTACTACCAGTAGTTATGTTTGCTATTGGGTCAGTTCATATGAAATCAGCCGCCCTCTCCTATGGGCCATCTCAGATTTGGCTGAAAAAAATTTAAAAAATAAAAAAAATAACCAAATTAAACGATCTAAAATTTTAGCTCAGTCCCTTCAGCCGTTCCTGAGTTATGGCCCATTGAAAGTTTGGGGCCATGTCCACTTTTTTGGAAGCCTTAATTTATAATCATGTTTGAGAGACCATAACTTCATAAAAAAATAGAACTAGGAAGCTGAAAATTTGTATTATCGTAGATTCTTGGTCGTTATGACAAGCAAATGGTGTTTAAGTCTATTAAAGATAACTGAACCTTTCTGCAGGTGGGAAAGTACCTAAGCTCCACCAAAAATGACCTGTGAGAGCTCATTTTCAAAAATTCCGTTTGAAATGATATTTGACAACAGATTCAGAATCTATGACCAAGAATCTACTATAATACAAATTTTCAGCTTCCTAGTTCTATTTTTTATGAAGTTATGGTCTCTCAAACATGCTTACAAAATTAAGGCTTCCGAAAAGGTCAATGGGCCATTACTCAGGAACGACTGCAGGGATTTAACTAAAATTTGAGATTCTTTCATTTGGTGATTTTAGAAATGTTTAGAATTTTTTTCAGCCAAATCTGAGATGACCCATAGGGGAGATTCCTTGAAAACGGCTGATTTCATACGGACTGACTCTATTTATACTCTTTTTTTAGATTTTGATTCTATGTAGATTTTTCTGCAACCAGTAACTTATATGTATTTTAGAGCTATGTATGAGTTAATATGTAAATTTCTTCACCGTTATCATTAACGTTGTACTGAATCTTTATAGGCACGTTTACCTGTTAAGTGGATGGCCCCAGAAAGTATTTTTGAATGTGTCTACACTGTTCAGAGTGATGTCTGGTCCTATGGCATCCTGTTATGGGAGATCTTCTCACTAGGTTAGACAATGAATCTATTATATTACTATTAAGGTTTCACAAATGGCAATAACAAAATATATGTATTATCAGGTAAGAGCCCATATCCCAGTATTGCAGTGGACTCCAGGTTCTACAAAATGGTGAAGCGAGGATACCAGATGTCCCAACCAGACTTTGCTCCACCTGAGATGTAAGTTACAATATTTAGTTATGTTTTGTTAACACAACTACATATTATAGCGTCCACTTTCTCGTCTGTCACCTGATGGTTATTTGAATGTACAGACATAAGCGTCCCCTGAAAGCGTTACAGTAAGGAACTACTCACCCATTCACCCAGATTCATAGTATACACAGACAGTTGAGGGTGAGGAGGATCTGTGGGAGCTGGAATCACACCTCCCAGTTTATATGTCAAGAGCAGGATTCAAACCACCAGCCTCTGGATCGGTGGAGAAACACTCCAAGTGAGCTACTGTCGAAATGAAGATATGGGTCTTTTTCCATTAGGGTTAAGGTTACAGATAGAGAAGTAACTCTTTATGTCAATGTAATGTTCCCTAAAAGTGTGCGTGTGTGTGTGTGTGTGGGGGGGGGTATGTGTGCGAGTGTGCATGTGTCTGTGTTCGTGTGTCTGTGCATGTGTGTTCGCATGTAGGTGGAACTGAAATCAGTTTTTTTAACTCACGTCATGGGGATCTGAAAAACAGGGTGTAAATCTAGATCAACAACATGATTTTAATTTGTGTTTTAAGGTTGGGTTCAGGTTAAGGCTAGTAACTATGATTAATTAAGGCTAGGGTAAATCCATTTAGGATTTGAGTTAGCAGGTTATGGTTTGATCATGATTAGGCTTTATTCATTGAAATAATACAATTATTTGCTATAAATAGCTAGCAAAATAGTTAACTCCTGTTACCGAATGTAGATAGGAGGTCGGGGTGGCATCTCTGTTTGGTGAGTCATTGTTGAATTGTTTATTTGTTTGGGTACAGGTTTCCCTGTGAAGCCCGTTGAGGTTACTTTTGTCATAAGATAAGATAGAACTTTATTGAACTCATTGTAGAGAAATTCACACATTTTGGGGCTACACTATGAAATGGACTAGAATAGTTATAGTTAGTTAAGTGGAATTCTAGAAAAGTCAATAAATAACTAAAGTGAATGAGTGGTTATTTAACTAGGTAACTAAGTACACCTAGCACAAGTTTGTTGTTTAGACACTTAGACACACTATTATCACTTTGTAAATAAACAAAGATGAGCTCAGTTTCTTCTCTTGAAACATTTTCCCCTCTTCAAACACTTTGAGGGCCAGTGAAGAAAAGATGCCTCATCTCACATCCACAAACTCTTATCAGTCATGATATATGTCCATTGCTTAACCTGTTGTAACCCCAAATTCCCATCTAAACTTAAGGCTCCAGATGTGAAAATGTGTTTTTTAGTCTTCTATGTGAGTGTGCGTGCATGTGGCGATTTGTTGTAGATGTTACACCACTGGAATAAACTGCGCTGTGGAGACCCAAGCTTGGTCTTAGTCAGAACCTAATCATCTGTTGTTCTGCTCTGAGTCAGGCCTCAGTTCTGCCTGTTAACCACATGATCTTGGAGCTAGGGGGGTGTGTAACTGCTATTTCACGCCAGCAAAATGAAACTGGGGGGGCTTCTGTGTCTCTTAACAGGTCTCTCTTGTCCAAACTACGTCAAAGGCTTCCACAAGAGTCATATCTGCCCACACTGGATTATAACAATGTTGCTTGATTACAAAATGCAGGGCTAAACTATAGGTGTTTTGTCTTCCAGCTACATGATCATGAAAATGTGCTGGAACCTGGAGCCCACAGAGCGTCCCACCTTCACAAAGATCAGTTCGATGATAGAGAGATTATTGGGTGGTTCGATGGGACAGAGTCAAGAGCAGGAGCAGGTAAGTTTGATGCACCAAGGCAAACAACTGCAGGTCATGTGATCACTCAGACCCTGTCCTTAAAAAACCTCTGATTCACAGACCACTGTAGGAAGTTAGATGAATTAGGCTATTATTTTTAGCTATCATGTCAGTGCAAATGTCTATGCATATCAAGTTATGTGAAGTTAGTTATATGTGGAAAAAAAATCTTTTTTGCAGAATGGATACTGTAAAAATTGTATTTTTTATATATATATTATTAGCAAATATACAGTGCATCTTTTTTGTTGTTTTATTTGATCGGTTATAAATGAGTCATAGACAAACATTTCATTGCCTCTATTCATAAGGCAGAACTAAAATGATTTGGGTGTGATTTTTTTACTTACTTCTCTTTAACTTACAGCTCATACTCAAGACTCAGATAACACATGCAAATATTTATATTTATTGCGCATTAAATACAATACAATAACGTTCAAAAAATACTGGTGTATTTAAGTCCATACTTTTTTTCCCACTCTATGCATTCATAGAAATTATACCTTACTTCCTGTCTAACTTATATGATTCTAAAATCATATACATATGAACCTGGTGTTGATGACCTCTGCCTCTTCACAGCTAGTCTACCAAAATGTGCTGCAGCTGGAGCAGCAAGAGCAGCCAGAGCAGAGCAGGGAGGGTGAGGAGTGTGACCAGCCCAAATGCTGTTGCCATGGCCCCTGTGACCAGTCTTGTGACAGTGAGGAAGAGGAGCAGCCCCTCATGAAGACCAACAACTACCAGTTTTGTTGAATTTATTAACAAATTCATTAAAAAAACTCCGAATGCCACGTCAAATCAAACTTTTTAACTACACCAAGGCAGGCTGAAATTAGCAGTGTCCCTACCACACACTGTTGGGATCTAATTTTTGCTGGTCATGCCTCTTTGCTAGACAGACAGCTATGAGAAACCATGTGATCTACTTCTTTGGAGACCGTGACTGGAAATACACGCAATTTACAAAGACTTATGACTTGAAAGGAAAAAAGTATGTCAACAATGCAAAGTAATAGAAGCCATCTCTTATAATGGACTCGAGTATTTAAATTCGTCAGTATTGTTTTACCTTGTATTGTATTTGTATTTGTATTCTGTATGACTTCTCATCTTCATGGATTTGTGGGTTGTGTCAGCAGGTTCACTGTTTCATTAGACTTCAATGCTATTTTCTTGGAGAAAGCTTACCCTCAAACTGTCTAAGTGACCTATTCATTCTCCAATACTGTGTGATGCTATTCTGTCTCTGATCACCTAAATTGAAACAGTGAAAGTGTTTTTCTCCGAGTTTAACATGCTAAATGGAGCGTGGAGAGGGGGAAGAATGGCCATGTTGTTGCCGTGGACACACTTACAGCAGCTGTCAGTCAATGGCAGCATGTGATTGTTCCACTTCAATTTATGGGATTAATTAACAAAGTCTGTTCAGTGTGTGTTTTTAAGGCAGCAAGTTACAGATGGTGTGAGCAGGGAAATCTGTAGAGACAATTTTTATGTTTGACAATGTGAAGTTTATATTATACTGCTTATGAATGTTTATAAATGAAGAAGCACAAATGTAGTGGTCAGCTTACACTGCCAGATAGATGTTTTTGGTGTAATTTATAAGCTATATTGCAAACTTTGGACCAAAGACTTGTAATATGAATTCAGGCATTTCAGTGAAAGTACTTGCATCTGAACGTGATGCCCAATAATGTATATAATGTCTGTCTGTAAATTCAGAATTATCTTTATTTTCTCTGAAAATGTCCCAGAGTACATAGTAGTAATGGTGTTTGATGTGTTTTTAAGCAAATGAGACAATCATCGCTAAACTGCAAGATACCAGAAATATGTGTTAATAAAGTTTCATGATATATTACTGAATAAGTTGTTTTTGTTACTGCGATTGAATGTATCCATACAAGCATAAAAAGTTCAGTAGTTTGTTAAAATTAATTATTGTGTCAGTTCAAATAACAGAAATAGAGTTGTCAAGCAGAAATCTTTTTGTTGTGACCCCAGATGGAAAATACATTTCTCAACCAAAATGATAAAATTGTAATTCAAATATTTCACCTCATTGTTTGAATTTAACTTAAATATGGACCACTGTATGTATTCACTTCCTCAACAATTTTCCCACAACGTTCGTCACACGCTACACAAACTTGAGGAAGTATTTCATCTTAAAATAGGTAATGGGGCCATTTCACATTATAAGGAAACGTGTGTGACTTTGTATAAGATTTTTAAAAGTGTGTGAATAATCAGATATTGTTCAAACTAAAAGAGATTATCTCAGTGCGTCACTTTTTAGCTTGATTATTCAAATGATTGTGTAAAGCAGCCATAGCAACACAATTTCTGTCCTGTGGTTTGATTAAGCAGGCAATAAATTAGTTTCATTTATTATCAAATTCATAACTAGGGCATTTGAATAGAGATATAATTTCGTATTTGGTTGCAACATGATGCTTTGAATTAAAAGACAAGACCCCACCATTAAAACACTGTAATTTATTCAGGTCAAGACAAAAACTATGAGAAAGTTACAGTACAGGGTTCTTAATGGTTTGCCTTAATGTGGGATATGGCAGAATTACATTCACAGAAAGCAACAGTTTATTTGCCGCACAAGAGCTGACTGATCAACATACGCAAACTATTGCACAGTACAATTTCAGCTATGAGAGTGCTCCAACAGAGGTCACTCTGTTACTTACAATCTCCACTCCAGTTTTATAACATTGCAAAGGCCACAATATGAATCATTACTGCATAATCTGCATTCATAACAGCAATTAGTTCACTGGCATGGCACTGGCTAGTTTAGCTAAAAAGTAAAATCTCATAAAATAACAATTATAATAGATCCCCAATGCACTACAGATGGCAATGTTGAGGTTTAATACATACAATCTTTCAATAAAAAAAGATTATTAGCTTAAAGGCTAGAGTCAAGTTTGTAATATTTTCATACATTCAACACTGTATTTAAAATTATGGGACTTACTGTTACATGCCACTATTATTTAAACAATCTTTAACTTCCATTCAAAATAGTGATAGATAGTGTTAGATTTTATATGTTTTCCATGTCTGTATTAGTAAAAGAGATTATTCTTTTTAATTATCATTTCATCTTTTCTCCATTGTCAGTTGTTGTCACTGTGTATCCATGGGTTTCAGAATAATGAAAAATTAGGAGTTGCCTTAGTGATTAACTCAAGCTATGGCCTACAGGAAGCTGAAACTCATGAATAGAGACAATTATACATATCCTAAATAAAAGTTTGTGCTAGACCGACAGCTCCCGAGGGACAAAAGTGACACTGTTTTGGACTGTTTTAATTTTTTTTAATAGTAAGTTGAGATAAGGCTAGTAGGTGACCTGTATTCATGAAAAACTTGTTCCTAAACTTAATCACTTGAATGACACAAATGACACAGCAGACCGTCCCTCCGGAGAATACAATCTAGCACCGCCCATGGAGAAATGTGTGGGAGCATTGAGTTAGGCACCAGCTTTTGAAAGGACAGTGGGAGGGGCTTACAGGTCATTCATGTCCCAAAGCATCATATACTTTTAAGGGTAATATTGACATTGAATATGTTTTATCAGGTTTGCACAATGGGCTCTACTTTTACAGCTTCTAACTCTTGACCCTGGTCTATAACCTCTTCTTTCTCTGTATCAATCTTTGCCACCCCCAGTCTGTACAATGCATCCCGAATCAGCACCTCTCCGGGTTGACAAGCCTGCAGAACTTGACTGACTTGCTGATTCACAATGTCTCTGCTATTGAGGAAATCCACCAAGCGATTGTAGAGGTAGTAATATGCGGTATTGTTAAAAACTACAGGCTGCTGTTGAGAGGAAGTTTCTGTATTGTCAAAATTGTCTGTATCCTCTGTTTGTTTGTCCTGGTCCAGTTCATTTAAAAGCCCAATGTATGGCTGTAGGTCTTTGCACAGGTGCACAGAGTAGTGCTTTAGAGTTGGGGGGTCTTCAGTTTGGGGTCCCTCTGGAGGATGCACCAGCCAGCGGGACACTGACCTGGTTATGGGATGGACATGCTGGTTTTCTTCCAAGTCAGGGCAATGTACCTCATCTTGTAGTTCAGTGCAGGACACAAGCTGCAAAATTAAAAAAGAACCCAAGTTAAAATGTGTAAATGCAAAATTATCATCTACCATTGTCAGTGTTTTGCAAATGCTTCAATTAACTGTTTTCCCCAAATTCAGGGGTTCCTAAACTTTTCAAACTGAGGCTAACAAAATAACAAGCATGCAACCCAGAAATGCTAGTTGAATATTTCAGCAGTTTCAATTAATATTTATTAACTTAAATTGAAACCTAGTGAATGACTAAATTTCAAAATATCCATTCACATACACAGAGCATAACAAACATAACTGTAACATAACTGTTACAAATGTTACTTATATGTAATAGTTTTTTCTTTCATGACTGATTAGACTGAAGTTTCTAGTTCAAAGTTTATTTTAGCTTTATAGCTTACTTTAAACATAACACAACAATCAAACTAACCTCTGGCTTTTCAAAAGGGTCACAGAAGCACCCTTGGTTCCTGCCCCACATCTGTGTAGCCAGCTCTGGGTATTGCGTATCAGCACAGAGCGCCACCTGCTGGGCACAGTCACTCACATATACTGGAGGCCAATAGAGAGAAGACAGCAGCAGGTCTATGTGGTCTCGAGCTGATTCTCTTCTGATCAGGCATTTAGAGCCTGATACCACCTACCAAAGATTGAGTATACAGCTTTAGACAATTAAGGTAAAATGCAACAGTGTTTAAACAAATACAGTTGAATTTAACTCAACTGGCTATGCACTTTGTACCTTGTGAGGGCAGACCTTGGACAGTTTGCCTGCTGTGAAGTGAGGACTAGGCTCCGGTGCTGTAGACAAACCATTATGAACTTGTGTGTACAGAGAGAAGAGTGATGCCACCAGATCATCCTAAAAATTAAACAAGAGAGAAAAAGAGATGGAGGTTAGGCCAGAACTGGACAAATAAAAAAGAGATATTATGAATGTAAGGACTAGAGTGCTCTAACAATAATGTCAAACAAAACAGCCAAATGAACAGTAATATTTGCTATACTCTACCTTAGTCATTTCCTGGGTGATGTGAGCCCCACACTTCTGAAGTACTGCTCTCAACTCTTCGTTGCTGTGTTCTTCAAGTTTATCCAGTCTCAGATGTCCATCATGAATGAGACGCACCAAAACTGAGGGTTCACCTATGACAATTTACACAATGAAACATACTGGCTAGATGGGTATAAGGTCTGCGCAATTAACTGAGTTTTATTGCAATGGAAAAATATATCTTTATCTTAGTAATTAATTTTAATGTTTGATAACGCTCTGCCCAACTCCAATCTACTGTGGCTTTTAAAACATGAATTATAAAACAGTGCTAATGAATATGTATAGTTCTATTTTTTTCTACAGGTTAACTTTTGAATGTGTATAAGAGAGTTTCAAATAATCATCAATTAAATCAAAATGTTTATGTTTAAGTTTTTTTTTTTTCAACTGTGGATGTCATTTTGTTAAATAGCTGTACCGGGTGTGTTCTCTTTGGGAGCGTAGACTTTGTGTTTCTCTGTGTTTATAACAGTTGAACTCCTCATTAAAGGGGGGAAAAAGGGGGCGATGATTGAAGCGTCCACTCTAATGATGGGGGCGTCCGAGGGAAAAGCAGCCTGCTCCAGAGCCTCACTCTCCATCGTCAGCCAAAAGTCATCCACCAGCACCTCATCAGAGTTCGAGCTCTCAGGCCAGATGAACTATACAAAAAATGTCAGGCATGTCAGACGCAAAAAAAGCACATAAGCTTTACAGAAACAAATATCTTGTCAGCTTGTTATTTAAGTTTTATCTGTCTCACCCATAGCCTGTACAAAGAAGTGGACTATGTGAGTGTGACGTCCCCCATAACACTCAGCTCCAGTCAAATGAAGCTTATGAAGGCTGCAGTTATAGGGAAGAATATGGAGTCGAGTTTCATATTTGAAATTCTGAAGTATCGTAGCAACCTAAGGGCCAATCCACAGCGAGGCTGTTGAAAGTAATGCCCCTACCCCTTTTGATAGACAGGGTTGCTAAGTGTCCACTCCCTGCTAAACAAGCTGTGTCAAGACAGAGAGCAGCAGTCACAGAAACAGGGGCAGCATTTTTTTAATTAAAAGTCAATGAATTGCAAGTCGATGGAGGCAGAAGTATGCCCAAGCTCACTTCCGATTTGGAATGAGTCAACTAGTTTCTTAGCTATGTCCATTTACTCTATATATACAGTCTATGGTCTCACCTCTACATTCTTAAGTGATAGTAAGTTGTTTTGTCTTTGTGCAATTTCAATCTTTGGAGCCATGCCACATATGCCACAGATCATGTCGTTGTAATCTCGCACAGTCAGACACTCAAAGGCCCAGTATCCACTCTGCAACAGCTCCTGGACCTGCCCGCTCTCCTCTGGGGTCAATGTGTGAACTACAACAGAGTAACATTTATGTTTATTTTAATACAAGATACACATGAAGACTGATATGAAAACTAATCTTGTAACAAATACTTTTAAATACTTACTTGGGTGATTGGACACATGGTTCAGTAAGGTCTCAAAGACTTGAGCTGGAGGTTGGCCATTTTTGATGCAGGCTCTGATTTTTAAAAACAGGTCCATACTGATCAGCAATCTGTTCCCAACGTTGAACAAGCCTGAAACAATAAAAAGGTTTACAATAATGCCCAGTTTACCTTGATTGTAATTTTATTCTTGTGTATGCATTCATGTATTAAGGATGATAATTTAAGGTGCACTATGTAACTTTTCTTGTCTCCAGGGAACTGTTGCTTTGTACTGAATGTTAAACTCATCTATCACCATGGAAACAAGCAGGCGATGGGCTCTCACCAGGCCAAGTTACAGGTCAGATCTGCGGATAGGCTAGCCCACTCACAGTAAGAAACAGTGAAACATTCTAGCCAAAGTAACAGCTCAATAGAGACAAGCACTTTACAAATTGCCAAAGAATAGAAAAGACAAAACAGGAATGGATACAATCTACAACACAAAAATATTTGTTACCTGGATGGATGTCTGTGAAACTATGCAGAGCCAGACACTGCACATTGAGACAGATTTTCAGTTGAAGAGAAACTCTGTGCATCAGAGTTTCAGTGAGGAGCCAACATTCCACCTGCCCCGCAACAGTGCTATAGGGTAAAAATGGATTAGAAATGCAAACAAATGTCATATTAAATCAATCATAATAAATTTTGAAGCATTATGTGTATATATATAGATAGATATAGATAGATATATAGATAGATAGATATAGATATAGATAGATAGATAGATAAACGTTAACACTGGAACTATTTTATGCCACTGATACAATTAAAATAAAGTAAGATAATTCCAAAAAAACATTTTAAAATATACATTAACAATATAGTAATTATACAGTAGAATGAACTGCAAAAATAAATAATAAAATTAAGCATTAATTAGCCATAGAATTAACTTATTCAACCTTCTATAGCTCAAATAATAATTGTTATTACAAACAAAATAACAAAAATTCATGACCCACAGTAAATATTGAGCCCCAAAGTATATTTTTCCAACTTTCATATACTGAATGATCAGTTGATATAGTAATTACTGTGACAGGCCTAATTAAACCTACTTATTTTCTTTGGTTCTCACTTTTGTCCCCCTTTAAACAGAGGGTAGTTACACAGGCTGCAGTGGGTGGAGGCTGACTCAAAGAAATGCGGCCAGCCCGACTCAAACAGTGTCTCTGTCTCCACATTTTCCTCTGGTTCTGCATCGCTTTCTTGAACTAAAATGATCTGCAGATTGTTGAGCTCCTGGATCAGGCTGAGTGTGTCCTGCAGATCAACTTCACTCTCAGCAAATTGAAGCGACCGCTGTAAAAGAAGGAGGGTCGACTGGCGCTGGATATCTTTCTGGCCTGCACTCAGGGCCTTGTATGGGTCCAGTAAGGTTTCTGACTGTAAAAAATAAGAAAATAAATTAAATGTGGTATGTTAATTTATATAGCTGCAATAGATGAGACAACAGAAATTGCACAGGAAGAAAAAAATACCTTTATGCCCTTTTTTTGATTCAATGATAAGCCACATTTTGGACACACTGCAGGTTTGTGTCTGTTCTTATACATATAGTCGCATGCAGGGTTTTTACACCACCCTCTACCACGTGACGTAGGCAGCCCTAAATTCTGAAAAAAGTATATATCATAAACGTTTTAAGCTATCAATTTTTTTATCTGATAGGCATAATTTGGTTTATACTCACAAAGCTGGTGACAGTGCGTTGTTTAAGAGGCACCACGGACACAAGATTCATTTTTCGGTCAAGTGACGCAACAGTAGAAGGGCCCTCTACGGACACAGGGGCAATCTGAAAATACAGAATACATTTGATGTAAAATTATTACAAATAATTACATCATAACAATGGTGCTTTATAGGTGCACTGCATAACTTTTCTGTCAGAGAGTCCGCTACCTGCTTGTCTCCATGGAGATGTTTTTGTTTTCCCAGGAATGTTCCAGGGTATGACATTAAATATGCCAATCATGTGTTTATTTACTATGGATGTTTCTTTTGCTCAAAAATACAAGAATTCCTTCTGTGAATAGGGGCAACTCTCCACAGATCTCAATTTCAATGTAACGTAGCGCTTTAACCTGCTTACAGATTTAATCTGTACTGTGGAACATTTTAGACAAACCAATAACATTTCCATGGAGACAAGCAGGAGCCGGACCTTCCACCAGAACAGTTGCGCAGTGCACTTTTAAAGTTGAAATAATATGACAAATCAGGCCTTTATTAATAGCTAATTTTCAAATAATTTGAGTTATAATAAAACTTGTTCTGTTACCTGTTTGTCCATGTTTGTTGGTAGCGCCTGTCCCAACTGTTTTAAAGTGCTTGGTTTGAGTCCTGTTAGAGCCTGTTGAGTCACTGTGGTTAAAAAAAAAAAAAAAACTGCATCAAAAACATAAACTGAAGATGATACTTTTTGATTTACTGTAGTAATATTTGCATAGTGATAGAATTGCAACATACAAAAAACATTTCAGACTCAAGCTTGAGAATAAAGATAAAGTACCTGAAAATGTGGAGTTTGAACTTGCATTTTGTTCTTTGTTCGACGGCGAGGTAACTATTTTGAACATAGCATTGTCTGTTAACAAAACCATAATTTAGACACATTTATGGTTCGCATCATGCTTGTTTTCATCATCTTACTTTTGTTATAGTAGGCAGGGAGAATGGGTCTCACTGGTTTCTTCTGAACAATTACTTTCTGCTTTTTTGTTCTATGTAAAAAAAATAATAAAATTGTGCCTTTGGTTAGCATTGTTAGTAACTAATGAATTACAATTATTAGCATCACAATATAAATCAATTTGTATTATTAGAGAGAGTACCTTGTGTGAATTATGCGTGTTGGCTGGGCCATTGTCTTGCTGCTGGTGTCCCCTAGTGTTGTTGAACTAGGGGATGTTTGTACTCTGATTTTCGCAACTTCTTCTTTATCAGCTGTAGGTTGTTTCATCACAAAATTTTTCACTTTGGGCTTCTTACCCTGATTTCCAATTTGAGCCTATGGAGGTCATAATACCACATGCATTTGTAATATATACTGTTATAAACCAAAATGCATAGCTTGCACTCACATTATTGCTAACTTTGTTTGTGGTGGATTTTCCAAACTTTTCACCATGAAAAATCCATTTGCCACCCAGATACTGTCCACACTGAGGGCATTTTGGGGGCTTGTGTCGAGTAACATAGACAAATGAACAGGTGGGATTTGAACATCTACCACGACCTCTTCTTGTGTACGTCTTCACTGGCTGTGAAAGGCAAATTGGCATTGTTAACAAAAGGGTTAACAATGCCAGAGGGTTAAACATAGAAATTAAACATCGTGTGTGTGTGTGCGTGTGTGGGGGAGGGTGTGTGTGTTGGCAAAAACATAAATTTAGATATTTGTCCAATTTTATAAATTAATAAAAATCGAAATAGTTTATACCAAAATGTAGAGCAGAAGTGTCTGGTCTGAGGAGAATTAGCCCAACAAAGTAAAATAAAAGTAAAATAAAATAATAATATCTATCATAAAATAATGAGCAAAAAAATTTCCTGGATATCTACTTAACGATATTATCATGACAATCTAATGAACATAGTGTACTGATGGTCTGATGTGGTCACTGAGCAGAAACATCCTCCAAAAAGCCACCACCTCACCACATTTCATGCTATTTGGATGAACGTGTACAAAATTATCAACTGATGAAAAGTCAAAAGCCCGAAAAATGCCCGGAACTATATCAGAGGGTCAACAGTATGTTATATTTACCATGTTATAGGAGGGCTTGGGGGTTTGCTCAATGCTGGACATCATCATTACAGGCCCCACAGCAGTGACACTGCCCAGTGAACTTTGTGCCAGCAAATTCTGAAATATTTAACAAAACATTTTGTATTGTGTTGTTTTGAATTTATGTGGCAAAAAGCTTACCTGAGTAGGTATTAGGGCAACAACTTGTGGGGTTTCTTCATGTACTCTTGTTCCACTGACAGTACTGGGAGATGACTCAGTGTTAGGTAAAATGGTAAAGGAGGTGTAAGGAAGCATCCCGTGTGTTTTGGAGTCAGCTGGTTCTTCTGGCACTGCTTCAACACTCACAGCTTGTGGATACTGCTCTACTTCACCAGAGGGTCCTAAAGCGGGACACTCCTCCTTCACTGTGACCGAGGGCTGGACAGCTCCCACATCCGAACAATCTCTGCTCAAATCTGGCACTGCGTCTCCTGGCTGAGGACCAGGTGAGCAGCCTTTGGCCAAGACAAAGTAATTTGCCCTGGGGAGGATCTTGCGGAATCCTGGCAGCTCTTTTGATGGACTGGGTGAGGGCTGCAAAGAACACAGCTCTTGTTCACTGACAATGACAGATAAGAACATGTAGAGTGACACTGTATGTGTGATTAAGTCAGAAAAAGTAAGATATTACAGCAATGGTTCTGACAGCAATCTCCTCCCTAAATGTGCAGATAGTTACCAAAGGTATTAATTTATCATTTCCATTACATTTACTGTCAGTAAAATTGTCAATAAAGCTTTGCAACAGATTAGATTCCCTAATAGCCCATGATAAACATAACACTTAACGACTCATCAAAACCTTTTAAAAAGACTGAAGACCAGTGTTTTGAGCTATCATTAATATACCAATGGACTTTTTGACTGATGATTTCAACACTTTCTACTGAGTTGCTATTAAGATGGCAAAAAATCCATAATAATTAAAAAACAAAAGTAACACAATATTAGCAAAAAACAAAACAACTTACTGAGTATGTACCCTCTTTCTCTGACTTTGCCTTCTCCAAATAGTAACTTTTCTCTGCCACACTGAGCCTTCTCCAGCTTTCACTGATGCGCTTGTTGATTTCTGACTGGGGCAAATTGGGTACTTCTTGTTGCATAACTTGATGAACATCAAAGTAGTAGAGTAGGTAAGCAGACCTAAACAGATGCTCACTCCAGTCAGTAATTGTTGTGACAGCTAACAGTCTATGATTCTTTTGTATTACCTAGGTTTCTTGGGTTTCTCCAAGCTGCATGTTTGATGATGAGGTTTGCTTCTCTTCTTCTTTGGAGGACTTTTATCTGTTTGGCTGTTAAAAGTTTCCACTTCTTCTGTCACTTTCATCACCTCATACATGTCCTCCTTGTCCATGACTTTTAGATTCCAACTAGACACAAACAGTAGATATTACACTATAACCGCATCAGTGCTAGACTGCAGAATAATTGGTGACAAGTTGCCAACATAAGTATTTGTTATTATCAGTATGTAAAACGTAATAAACAATGAGCTGCAGCATCTGGAATATGCATTGAAAATAAGTATTTATAAACATCTGGGAGGTGATAATAGATGCAGGTCTTAAGCAAAATAGATGAGCACACAAAAGAACAGTTCCTGCATTCGGTCAGAGTAAAGGTGCAAAACTACAAAACTGCACTTGCCAACTTTGAGGTAAAAAGGTTTAATGGCGTGTCTCTATACTGCTTGCACGCAGCCAGTTGTCCAATGAAATGGCGTCTTATTGAGGTCTTACCTACGATCGCCCAAAGCTTTAGCTGACAGTTTAGAAGATCACTTCAGCAAACACTAGAAAGTCCATGCATTTTTTTCGTAAATGAAAGGCTGTGATTCTGATCATGTACAGAATGCGCTGTGAATTTTTCAGTAAAGAACCCTCGATTGTCGTCGATTTGGTAAAAACATGGCGGATTGTTGCTATGCCTCTAAACCAATCAGAAATTACAATGAAAAAGAACTATCCAATCAGAAATTACGTTTTTTACACGTGAAAGTACCTCTGCGTCCCATAAAGCGCCATCGTTCGGGGTGAAAAAAAATTATATATTTTTTGTATTTCTGAACGTATAAACATTTATAGCTTTCAATACGATATTAATTGTAAAGTCACGTCATTTATCAAAACATGAAACATGAGCTTTTGGCATTTCAGAGTGCCTTAATTTTTTTCTTTTTCACATATATCCAACACGTAAAAATGTTACAAATATAAATATAATACATATGTTATTAGCATTAAATATCAAATTAAACTCCATACAAAACTATTCAGGCTTAATCGGATGATCGTCTTTCTGCTTGCCAGGTTTATCAATCGAACGCCGAATACAGAGCAAAAATGGCGGATGACAAGGTGAGTGCACTTCAAGTTTCGGCTTTAGCAGTAAAAATATTGAATTCACGTGTTTTGTCAGATGCCATGTCCTGCTTCCAAATATCGAGTAAAGTCTCCGTCTCAGCTGTAATTTTTTTTAACTTAAATTAAGTTACACAGGTTAAATACAGCCGCTCTTTCAACCGGGCTAAGTTCTCACAAGTGAGTTCAAAGCGACACATAACAAATTTCTCTTATTTTAGGATCCTTCGAAGCAACTGAAGGATCTAACACAGCTGAAAAAACAACTTCAGGAGCTCCGTTTAAGAGTTGAGGGCGAAATTTCAGAAGACACCCCACATGTAAGTACTTTAATCAAGATTACATGTCCTTAGGTATATGACACTGTGGTATTAGGTGTTTATTGTACTCATCGTTATTATAAAGAACTTTCTTAGTTATTATATAATAGTGTCTTAGTTATATAGAAGTGGAGTGGACAGTGACACCCTCTTCTCTAAATTGTGTGTTATTCCTTAGGCAAAATGAACCTTGAGCTTCGTCTTAATTGTAGTTATTACATTAGCTGTGTTGTGGTTGCTTTATAATGTTCTTTTTTTGCAGGGAGATTCTGGGCTTGCTTCTCCATTCCTAAAGGGATTTCTTGCTGGTTATGTGGTGGCCAAACTCCGGTCCTCTGCTATTCTGGGAGTGCTGCTGGGGACTGCCACGGGTGTGTATGCGGCACAGACCTATCAAGTGCCCAACATAGAGCGAACCATAAAGGACTTTTTCAACAAGGCAAAAAAGGCACCAAAAGATTAAAGACATGGATATATATGGCAGAGGACAATATGCTGTCTAACAACGGATATGACAGACCAGTCATCTCAAGGGGCACAAGGAATAACTGGATTTAAGTGGACTCAAAAGACTTAATTTTTAATATTTCTTTGCAAGTTTTGTTATTTAATTTAATTTTCACTTTTCACAATTTGAGAAAACTGTGTTGCCAGCTATCTGATTTTTTCTCAAGAATACCAGACCAAATTTTATCAAGATGTAGACATATATTACAACTACTTGAACTATATCGTGTTTTCTTTAAGAGTTTTGCACTATATAGAGTATTTATATTGAAGGAAGATGCAAATAAAATAGTATTTATTAAAGTTTAGGATGATTGTGATTGAAAATGTGGGGCCTGCTCCCCCAAAACTGCATAACACACAGTGGCTCAAGAGACTGCGATGGGGCTGCCTTTTTACTCTTATGGTGCTTATTTATGGATCTCATGCACCACTCATTACGCTGACCAAAGTTGACGGCGTGGTCCCTTTTAACCCCTCCTCATGTGTGGTCATCATTGAGTTAGCGAAACTAATGATTTCCTTCATGTCTCTCATTCTAACTGGGAGGTTTTCTGCCCTACAGTCTTGCCCATCCTTGGTCATTGTTGCCCCCTATGCCGTCCCAGCTGTACTGTATGCTCTGAACAATAACTTGGTAGTTCTCATGCAAGCTTACATGGATCCAAGCTCATATCAAGTCCTGAGCAACTTGAAAATCGCCTCCACTGCTCTCTTGTACTCTTTCTGCTTGGGCAAGAGGTTGAACTTTAGACAGTGGTTTGCCTTGGGTCTTTTAATGGCAGCGGGGGCATGCCATAGTTATAGTAGTTTAGATTTAGAAGAAATGGAAAGCAAAGACAATGCAAACGAACCTTCAAGATTACATATAACATCTTGGGGGCTTTTTCTTGTATTAGTATACTGCTGTGTGTCTGGCTTGGCAGCGGTTTACACAGAAATGGTGCTAAAGAGACAGAAATTACCTCTCAGTTTGCAAAATCTGTTCCTTTATGTATTTGGGGTTGGCCTGAATCTATTGTCTTCATTTTCCACAATAGCCAATGGCAGAGGGTTTTTGGAGGGATACACTATAGTAGTTTGGGTCATCATTGCAGGACAAGCAGTAAATGGGCTCCTGATGTCTGTAGTACTAAAGCATGGCAGTGGGATCACCAGACTGTTTGTAATCTCCTGCTCCATGCTTGTGAATGCGCTCATATCATGGGCCGTGTTAGAACTACAACTTACTCCAACTTTCCTGCTTCCTGTCACTTTGATCGGACTGGCTGCTTATCTTTACTACAGGTAGAAGAATATTTACATTTTCAGAAATATATTTGAAGTTTGTTTTTAAAAAAAGACATGCCTCTCATTTTCGCCTCTTATTATGGCCTTTATTTAATTTTTTTTACACAAAGTATGCAATGTGACTGTGAAACAAACAACTCAGCAAATCTTGCATGCAAGAGTTATGGTTTTAACATTTCTATTTTGTTGAAGATAAGTTGGAGAGTGTTAAGCTTTCAAATAAATGGTTAAAACTGTTCAATTTGTGATAATTTCTTTGTCAAAGCTATTTCACTTTAGATTCACCTTGAGCAGCCAAAGTGTCCTTCAATTCTGCCAAAGCTGTGAACAAAGAAAATCATGTGAATACAAACTTCACAGGCTGAATCAATTAAATAACTGATTTCCTTTTGGATTAGAGTATAGTGACCTTTGCTCAGCTCCTTGTTCTCCGCCTGCAGTTGCTGATTTTGGGCAGAGAGGTACACTGCGTCCTGTACAGCCTCCAGCAGCACGGTGCGGTATCTCTCCTCTGACATCCTCCTCTGCTCCTCACACACGTCCCGAAACACTCTGAACACCTAAGCATTACCACAAGTTACCAACTGTACCAACTGTCAGGATAATGATAATTTTGGTTATTTTTTGGCTATATGATAATGATAATTCTTCAGGATTATTGTGTCAGTGGCATAAATTATAGTTTCACTATTATTGTTTTTGCCTGTATTTACTTCAGCAATAAACTGTACAAGATAAGCAGTATTTTCACAACTGCATCCAAATAGAGTGTTGTTAGGCAAGTAGGTCATGTTTGTTGTGAATATGAGAGAACTGAATGTGGTATTTTGTATAAATGTGTGATAGCATTGTTGGCAAACTTGTTTTCCATTTTCAGAGTTCACGAGACTCACTCTATATTGATTAATCTGGAATATTACTTGATTTCATATTTATAATGTGTACAAACCTTAAAAGACTTATTTGTCAAATAGTGCCTATAGTATGTAGTATTCTCTGTTTTGATTAGAATAAAATAAAATTAAAAAAAACATTTATCTTTTTTATTTTTGTGTGCCTAAATACACAATAGCTAGAGTGCATTGTCATTGTTGGGGTTATAAAGAGACTACGACAGAAATAAGTAATTTCTGTGAAAATATAGCCGTGTTAAGCTTCAGTGGAGCTGCCTGTATCTGCGAAAGTGCAACAAGCTTAACCTTTATCTTGGTATATCAAAGTGACATGTGTATTGAGCCAAATGTGTATTTGTATTGTGATAATTATATTGAACATTTGAAATTCTATAGAGTATTTTTTCATCCCTAATATTGAGACAGTACCTACCAAGCTGCTTATGTTGTATTTTAATTGTACTCCTCATCCTGTGTGAAGTAACTGAATACATGTTCAGAGAATTACTTTTCCATTTGGTGGTATTCAGACTACAGTTACTTTTATAAAATCAAAGGAATAGATGGTGGTACTTGAACACTCAATTTGGACTTCAAACTGCACAGAATTAGTGAGAAAAATATAAAACAGCTCTTGTAGTGAGTGCAAGTGTGATTTTTCCTTCTTTGATCAGCAATAAATACATGCATAACACATGTTTTTAACCCCATGTTGCATGTTACACTATAATTTAAATGCAACTCTGCGTAAAGGTATTCTAAGAATTCAGAATACAGTACTCTGATTGGACCATGTATTGGAATATATTACAAAATACAATTTAATGAAGGTATTCAGTATTCAGTAACTAAATATGTTTCCAAATGAGTGTATCCTCATTTAGAGCTTTATTAAAGTGTACAGGCTAAACAAATAGGCATATATACATTATTTATATAACAACATATTGTAGTACATCTCCAGGTCCCATCCCACCTGCAGACTCTCCTCTCTCAGACAGTGCATCTCAGCCTGGTGTGTGTTGTGCTGGTGATTCAGGTCCTGTTCAGTTTGTTGGAGCTCTGTGCGTAGGGCCTCCAGCTGCAGTACCAAGACTCGCCTCTCTTTGGTTAACACTAGTAACTCCCTCTGGGGACCCTCTGTCTACAAAATATACAGAAAACTATTAAAGGCAAAAGAGCAATGATGGTAGCACGTTTTTATGAGGGCTTCTTCCCCCTTATATAAACATTTCCCTGACGCTGCAGTTATGGCTAAAATATATCACACACACTGAATAACGTTAAACAACAGTGTATCTCATTATAGTTACCAGGGGCTGCTCTTGTGCCAGTTCTCTTTCCATCTTCTCCACCTCCTCCTGAATTAATCTCCCATGATCCTCCTGCACACGCCTCCGTCGCTCCTGCGCTTTGTTATACTCCAGCTGAGACTTGATCATTAAATTGGCAAAATAAATGGCTTTACTGTGGGTTGCCCGCCCATGAGCACATAAATCCTATTTATGTCTGCAAGAGACTCCTTGTAAAGTACTGGGTAAGCACATTTTACAAACAAATATACACGAATATATAGTGGTGTATTTGGTTGGGAGCAATAATAGTTGTGCAAACCTGTGAGAAAATGTCAGGTTTATCTATAGCAGTGCTGTGTTTGAGTGTCTCTTCTCTCAAAGCTTCTCTGAGTTGGTGGATTCTTTCAACTTGTTCCTGCAACATTTTTGAATCCCCTTTACCATCTGAAAGAAAATTACAGTGTAAAATATTAAAAAATACAAAAAGAATAGGATCGAGGTGTAAAAGTTTTTGAGGCTCAGAATTCAAGCCTCAAGTGTATCAGATGTCACTGAACCATCCATTCAATAGAGAATCATATAGAACATATTTACTGTCATTACTGACATAAGAGAGTTATTCAGTGCATTATTGATGACCTTGTATATGTTTGTGCATCTCGAATCTCAGCTGATCCTGCAAACGTTTCAGTGTCTCTGGTACCTCCCCAATATCTCCACTTGAGCTTGTACTAGAGGCCAACCGATGATTCTGCCAACAATATGAACTTTGTTAGTGTGCTTATGTTAAAGGGCCCATTTTACACTATTTTTGATCTGTTATGTCATAATGTTGTTTCATTCACACACATTTAACACACAAACAGAAAACACTCCTTTTGATGTCATGTAGAAATAAAGGTAGTGCTCCACTGTGTTTTTAAACTCCACACACCTTCACTAGAATCATTTGAACATTTTCAACCAATCTGTACTGAACAAAACGTAAAAGGTACCTGTTAACTTTAAAACTATTGCTTCATGACATCACAAGGTGAAACAGAGCATTTTGAGCTTTGGAGACAGACTAATAATAAAGAGTTATTCAAACATGTGTGAATGAAACAAAACACAACACCAGGTATGTTTTTGAAGAAGTAACAACATTATAACTTGGCTTAATGCTCACAAGAGTTAATCTTTCATAAAATAGGGCCTTTAAAGGTTTAAAATCTACGCTACCTTTGGTTTATCCTTTATCCTATTTGACTGCTCACGTCTTCTCTCCCATGACTGACTTTTAACAACCTGTTTGAGAGATTGAAATATGTTTAAAGATTTTGACATCAAATTGGCTTGCACTAAAATACTGATTTCCCTACAGACTGCCACACCTGCAGATCGTGGTTTAACTGGGCCAGCCTGTAAGTGCTATGAAGTTCAGTGGCTCCCTCTGACATCATCTCTGTCCTGAGAGCCGCCATTTTGTTCCGAATCTCCTCCTCAGCTGCCCATGGACACCAGCGAATAACTGTTGGCTTAGTCACCAGACTTCTCACTTTCTCGGCCAAAGTTAAAGCATTCGGGGTCTCATTATCCAAAACACCTGCGAGACACAGTGCAGTTTTACATCACTTAAAGCCCATTTTTTATCTAATGTGCAAGGGCTTCTGGGTAATACAAGCTCTCACCTTGAGGATGGAGGCAGCAGAGGAGAGCGGTTCGGCTATTACCATTTAGGGTATCTTTTAGGAGGAAAGGAAGAAGCTTGTCCTCAATTGAGTCTTCAGTTTGGATCTCAGCCAGTGCTTTCACAAGGGGACTGACGCTGCACGATATTACAGCTATTATAACTAAGTGCATGTCAGCTAATGAATATAGATGATGGTTACAGATTTCTCAGCCAGTTTTATTAATTTGCCAATCTTCAATACCATCTGTTTATGTTTCATGTTATTTTAAGCCAGTAAGGAATCACATTAGGGCCTTTCAGTAACAGGTCAGGGAATAGTGAATTTGATGAGTGCCAGTTTTTGATAGCAAAACTACTGAGTCCAAAACTGGAAATGTGTTTAACTAAAGTGGTCCAATGAGGGGGAAGAATGAGTGCCTGGTTACTAGGTGAATCACATGGGGGGATAGTCATTGTCCATGTTAGGAATGCATCGATCCTGCTTTTACAGTTTTGATACTGATTTAATACTACAGCTTTAAATAACTTCCTATTCCTGATATGATATCAACCAATACCAGTGCAGAGACTGAAAAAGCATTTATTTACTTTAGTTACAAACATGAAATAAGAGCTGTTATCCATCTCTATGGTAACTATAGAGCGTTGTGTCAATAAAAGTTTTTGAGCCAGTTATGACCAGTAAATAGTCTTATTACATCACTTTATATCTCCAACCAGGATATTGGCTGAACCAATACATGGAATATAATTGGAAGCTAATATCTGATCCAGCAAATTTCTCTGGATCAGCGCCAATATCTGATACCAGTATCAGGTCAGGGCATCCCCAGTCCATGTATCTGACCAAATGGAAGCTCTGAATCGGTTAATGTAAATCCTAATGGAACAGGCCTATTGGTGAGTGGAAAAAATTAATTCAAAGGGGATGGATGTATGTCAGTGGCAATATCTGGCTGTTTGAATACCACCAAATATAAACCAGGTTTATAACTTTAACTTCTTAGGTTCTTTTTAAAGACAATGCAGTAAAGTGTATTTACCTTGTTGACATGTTCAAACGCTGGATCAAGGAGGCCATTGAAATCAGGAAACGAGGCAAGGACAGCATTAACCGTGATGACGGAGCGTTCCTCCTTTCACACACTTGGGACACCCTCCTCCAGAGACCACCGGGTGACGGGAGGCGTGGTCAGTTTGAGCGACCTGCCAGGTCCATCAGGCTGACCACGCCTACAGGAAGTAACAACAGCTGATATACGACACGTCACCACCAAGACCGGTGACAGTTCTGAAGATGGCTTGCAGCTAGCAGCCGAAACATGTCAACAAGGTAAATACACTTTACTGCATTGTCTTTAAAAAGAACCTAAGAAGTTAAAGTATATAAGAAGACAAAATGAACATCATTGGCTTCATAAACCAGGTCTAATTCTAACTCTAAATTAGGCCTAAAGCAGTTCTAGACCTAAGATTACTATACGAGCTGTAAAAGTAATGGTTTTTGCAAATACCTTCAGCAAATATTTGAATTTCAGAAGAATCCATGTACCACCTAAAGAAGCCTATGTACCACTGTTTGGAAACCACTGGTGTGTTATGTCATCATTGTTAGGGCTGTACTATTAATGAAATTTTAATTGTGATTGAATTTCAGTCATTTCTAATTGTCAGTGATTAGCTTGGATCTTTGTAATGGAGAGGTTCACAGTTAATTCTCTTTCAGTATACGCATGTGGTTTGGAGCAAAGTTCAGACGTTGGAAGAAAAAATATTATTTCATTAAATTTGTGTACTGCTCAAGATAGCAACGCTAAAATAGATTTTATATGGTTTAATAAGGCAAAATTAAATCTAATAAAAATGTGATAGATCAATATGAGAGTTAAAAATGTGACTGATATTTTTGTCGTTTGGCCCTAATCACAGCAGAGCCTCTTGTGTGGATATAATTGATGGTTCTCTGTATCAGACTCACCCTCGGAGCTGGGTCCTGCTGGCTCCCCCCTCCAGACTGAACAGCTGCAATCTGCTGCGGCACACTTCACTCTGGACTCTCCACTCCACAGCCACCGACAGCACAGCGCTACACCTGAGAGAACTCATAACATGAGCTCAAACACACAGGTGCAACACAAGCATTAAGGTAGAGATAACTTTTCATTAACTGTCTTTTCTCTTGTTTGTCATTGTTTGTCTTCCCATGTAAAGCGTCTTTGGGTATCTTGAAAAGCGCTATACAAGTGTTATGTATTATTATTATTATTATTATTATTATTATTATTATTATTATTATTATTATTATTATTATTATTATTATTATAGTAGTAGTAGTAGTAGTAGTAGTAGTAGTAGTAGTAGTAGTAGTAGTAGTAGTAGTAGTAGTAGTAGTAGTAGTAGTAGTAGTAGTAGTAGTAGTAGGGCTTTATGGCTGCATTTAATGTCCTTTATTACATAAAATTGACTCTTGTGAGAATGTTGTTACCTCCTCAAGAACACACTTGTTGTGTTTTGTTTCATTCACACATGTTTGATTAATCCTTTATTATTACTCTGTTCATATATCCAAAGCTTAAAATGCTCTGTCATGAAGAATTTCAAGTTAACAACTACCATTTACCTTTTGTTTAGTACAGATTTGAAATTCCAGGGCTGAAATTATCCAAGTGATTCTACTGAAGGTGTAAAGAGTTTAAAAACACTGTGGCACACTTCCTGTATTACCATGTGACATCACAAGGTGGATCAGAGTATTTTTCATTTAAGAGAAGAATTAAGAGAAGCCTAAATATGCAGGGTTTGTAAACGTATGTGAATGAAACAAAACACAACACCAGGTATGTTTTTGATGAGGACACATTATAACAGAACTTTATATCAAATAGCATAATACAGGCCCTGTAAAATGCATGCTACTACCGTTATTACCAGTACTAGCCAGTTTTTATAGATTGCATGGTATTTTATGAGTAGTCACTAGACCTTAGAAAATAATCAGAATTTAACAATACTGGTTTTAGCTGCCTCCATCTGTTATATTATAGGTCTATAGAAGGCTGTGATGTTATCTGAAACCCAGCAGCTACAGTTTGACTTTGAAGGTACAGAAGTTGCTCAGTCTGAGTATTGGTATCTGAGGTAAGTAATATTACTATAACAATTACTTTTTTTGTTTAGTTTCTACTGTTATAACAAACTGATGAAAGTGTCCAGTACTCAAGGTCATAAACATTTTGGATGAAAGTGTAATTTTTCCACTTTCCTCATACACCTTGATATATGGACACTGCAACACCTTGGCTCAGAGACAAATGACTCTTTGCAGATAGTTATTATAATGAGTCTATTAAAAAGCTATTCACTTTATGGATGGCATTAGTGTACTCAATGTGACCGGTGTTTAATTGACCTACCTGCAGGACAAGCCTCCTGGACTGGACCTCACTCTGTCTCTGCATGTTTCATACAGATTATAGGCCTCTTCTGAGGAGCTCACACACACTTCACTCACACCCCCTGCAATTCTGCAGAAAAACACACGGTGGTAATACAGGATTGAACTGAGGCTAAGAGTTTATAACGTGGCATAGATTGTTATCGATGTTTTCTGTACTTGTAATCTTTCTGGTTAGACCTGACTGACCTTCCAATAATTGGATGAGTCACAGGTTTAAGATTTTCTCGATTGGACCCGAGTACGTCCACAGTGGTACCATCAGGGTAGAACTAAGGACAAGGTGAATACATTGTGCACAGTCATAGTAACAGCACTGCATAAAATGGAATAAATGTTAAAAACACACATTTCAGAAAACTTTTTGAATCCTTTAACTGGGAGGAGTCGCGGTCACAGAATTTTGAGTTTACATAGAGGAAACAGACACATCTTTCTAAATTCTTGTTAAAATTATCCACTGATGTTTTACAGTAAACAAAGAAGTTGCTTTCATTTACAGTTTGTTCAGTTTTTTGGTGGGGGTTGTTGTTCTACCTGTAAGGATACTCTCTAGTTTTAACTGAACACTCTCTGCTTCTTTGTGAGATATTTGTGACACAATCAGTTTATTATGACTTTTAATTAATTGGTGTTTTGTGTGTTTGAAAAAAAATAAATTTATGCCACAAATCAACTATATACCTCAAGACACCATACCTCTTAAAGGTTTTATATTACACAAAATTTACTCTTGTGAGAGTTAAGCCATGTTATAATGTCTTTCCTTATTAAAACCAAACTTGTAGTTGTGTTTTGTTTCATTCACACATGTTTAAGTAATCTTGTATTATTCTATCCACATCTCCAAAGCTCAAAATGCTCTGTTTCCACCTTGTGATCTCATGTAGTGGTAGTTTGACAGCTACCTTTTACCTTTCAGTAGAGATTGGCACTGAAATTAATCCAAATTATTGTAGTGTATGGAGTTTAAAAACACAGTGGAGCACCTCTTGTATTACCACAAGGTGGAACAGAGTGTTTTCTGTTTCAGGGTATGTGTGTTAAACATGTGTGAATGGAATGAAACAAAACAAAACACAACACCAGGTATGTTTGTGATAAGGAAACAATATTATCACATAGATCAGAAAATATCATAATATGGGCCCTTTAAACCACTATGTGGGTTGCAAGTAGCAACTACTCTGACCTAATTGAACCGAGATGTATATGTTAATCACAAGACTTCATGATTTTCAGGGGCCAAACCTCTTAATTACACAGTAGGTTTTCAAATAATCAAATTCTGCAAAAGCACAAACCTGAATGAATGACAAGGCCACAAAAGAGTCATCTTTTTCTTGTGCTTTACCATTGAGCAGACTGATCAAAATCTAAAATAGAAAACAGTATTAAAGGCAAGCAGTGACCAGCAGGGCTGTGTAAAATATATAGCCAAATTTCCACTTGTTTGATGATGTTCTGGTCTATGAGGGCCTTGGTTTTCTCTGTAGATGCCCCATGTATCAACAGAGCTCCATTATAACCTTCAAGCACTGACTGGACCAAGGGCTGCACGAAATCTGAATAAAGTCCCTGTAGAAATTTTCAGTTCAGAGCTTAGAACAAATGAAATGTCATTTTGGTGAAAAGAAACAGTCCCACCTACTGTTATATTGTCATCAGTCACCACCATGTCAAAAGAGAATGACTTCGTGCTCTGCTGGACCAACAAGCACAATAAGAAACACATATACATTACAATATACATTTGGTGTTACTTTGGAAATAGCATTGTCTAACCTCATCTTTTCCAGTCACAAGGTCCACTCTGTGTCCATCCTCCGTAATAACCACACAAGTGTTTTTCTCTGCGGGCGCACGAGTGACATTTAAAAAAATGTCAGTCTGCAAATGTGAGAATGTGAGATTTTTTTTTTTACCTGCGACTGATGTGAGTAATACCCCCACACGAACATTTTCAGCCTCCTCACGCATCTAGAAAATATATGAGATCGTCCAGAAATAGTCCAAGAAAGCACTTTGATGGTAAAATGTGACTTACAGGGGAATTCATGCCTGCTGTGCTCTGATCCACCTAGGGAACCAGGTGAGGTGGGTTTTGTTACATTGAGATGAATTATCAATGAGGATGACTCTCATTGAACGAGGTCTAGTTACATCAGTGGGCAATATATTTAATTCATGTAACAGTTATCAACAATTTAATTTTTTAACTTTGTGAAAATGTGTCATTTCATTATGAATAGATTTGAATGAACTCTGGATACTCTTAGCTTGTACTAAATAAGGAAGAACAGTCAAAAACAAAGAGTGAAATTATTATCATACGTATGTGTACACTATAAATAACAAATCAAAATAACGACTGCTTAAGGAAATTACTGATTTTATTTCATGATTTAATACACTGTGATTTCAAAATATTTAGATTTGAAGAATACACAAGAAACACATATTTCAGTGTCTTAATTATAGACTGTATATATAAATGGACATAGTGCTCTTCTGAGTCCTTTTGGCCCTGGCTCCCATTGACTTACATAGGAATATTGTGGTCCCTTTCTCTGTAACTGCAGCAGGGAGTCTTGTAATTTTGGTCTTTAAATGTTCATATTGACCTACTTTACATGATCCTAGTGACTTTTTTTTTTCTGCTATTTTGCCCATTAAAAAATTCTAATCATAATATAAAGCCCGGATCCAAAGTTGCCCCGTATCCGTTAACATTGCAAGCTTCGTATGAGTAGAGCTGAACACTATGGGTGACGTCACACTCACTTAGTCCACTTCTTTATACAGTCTATGGTCCTAATTAACTAAAAGTTAAATCAGATTGAATTTGAAACAATTGTGACACAAGCATAGGACTCACTATGAACTTGTTTTAGCAAGACTTATTAAAATCATAAAAAAGATGATTTGCAGAAAGATTGCCAACTATTTCTTTGACAATTAAGCAGATGCGTCACCACTTAGTTTTACTTGCTGCCACCATCTGAAAACAAAAATTAAAAAAGAGGTAAAATTTAAATTAGTTAAACATACTTCGTAAAGTGTCTAAAAATACTGCACTGACCTGGCTGTGGTGTGGGAGTAGAAGTTTTCTGAGCCATTTGGAAGATCAGCCAGTAATGCATCCATGCCTCAAAGCTCTGTGAAGAATTAATATATTTAAGAATAATAGAGACTTTAAAAAGGAGTTTAGTGCTAAGACATAATAATGTGTGGATGTTCACCTTCCAGTCAGTCTCACTGACTTTCTGCTTCATGGTCTGGAGGTTGGCCAGGAAAGACTCATTCATTTGAGGAAAGTCTTGATCCTATTCACAGAGTAAAAACATTCACAGAGGGCAATGCAAATGTACATTAAATATAACTTTAAATGATACCGGTTTCATATTACACTATTATCTAATCTCTATTATAATGTTGTTTTCTATTCACAAACATGCCTGGAGTTGTGTTTTGTTTCATCACATATGTTTAGTCTGAGTGTCTCAAAACGAAAAGTCTCTCAAATTGATAATACTTTGTTCCACCTTGTGATGTTATGTGATAATAAAGGAAGGGCTCCACTGTGTTTTTACACTCCATTCACCTTCACTAGAATCATTTGAATAATTTCAGCCCTGAAATTGCAAAAATCTAAACTAACTAAAAGGTAGCTGTTAACTTGAAAACTACTACTTCATGACATCACAAGGAGGAATAGAACATTTTGAGCTTTGGAGATGTAAACAGATTAACAATGCAGCAGTATTCAAATGTGTGAATTAAACAAAACAAAAGAAGGTAACAACATTATAACACTGCTTGACACTGAGACAAATTTGCATAATAAAGGACCTGTAAATACCTTCATGAGCTCCTGTAGCTGCTTCTCCACACTTGGAGGAGCCACATCCTGCTACATTAGGGGACACATGAGAAGATGTATGTAAATGTATTGTCTGTCTATGCATGGTAATAACACAGAGAGCTTACCTTTGGAGGTTCAGCTTTAGGGCTGTTTTGGGGAGATTTCCCATCATCGAAAAAGTCCAGAATAGGCATACTGTTAGCAGGCATCACAATCTTCTTTAGAGACTCTGGAAAGATTAAATTACACTTTAGTAAGCAATCTCACTTTCATAATTGTGTTTTCCAATAAAGAAATATTCTAAATGGAGCATATCAGCTTTAAGATCATATTCCTGGACGTGCTTTCTTCCTGAAACATATGCTAGCAAACTACAGTGTCTTTCAAATTAAGGCTGCACATTATATTGCAATTGAATTGAAATCAGAATTTGAGTTAGTACAGAAAAATCTTGTTCTATCTGTAGTTTAGATTTCAACAAATAGGTTCAGAAATTCATGTGTGTTCAGAAATTAATTTTGCATTAGTTTGTCACTTCATAGTTCATCTTCTCTAAAATGCTGATGCTCTTAAAAATGTGAACTCTGAACAGAATCTTCATTTAAACATACAGTATATCACAAATCTAATTGCAATCACAATAGTTGTCACAACAACATTTTCCCCCATAATTACACAGCCTTATGTCAGTTGTATGGCAGTGTTTTTAATTACACATTTCCACCCTGTTCTGAATACCTCTTTACCTCGTGGCCGCTGACCCATCTGCTTCTCCAGCCTCTGGTTGGAGGTCTGCAGCCCCTGGATCTGCTGCTTCTGGTCAAACACCATGTACGCGGTGAAGACCTGAGCGGACACCAGCAGACAAACCAGAGTGGTGATGCCAGCGATCTTCACAGCATGGCTGTTTGAGCCTCTGTTTCACAAACACAAAAGAGAGATAATACTGTGACAGACAGTGAAAAGAGAATTTGTCCACTGTTAGATCAATAATTCTATATCTTCAAATCAGTATTTTTTGAGACAGAGAACAAGTCTTGTACTAGTCAGACTCAGCACTTTAAACATTATATTGCCTCCATTTGTTTATAATCTACTTTGCCTAGCCTCCTTTTTGGTTCAGTTTTGACTAGACTAGGCCCTTTGTGGACACAGCAATACGCTTACTGCATCACTAGTTGCTAGGCAGACACCAGACAAAATTTAATGTTCGAAGTTCTGTTCGGTATCAAAAACCAACGGAGCAAATACTAATGCATCAAATAAAGGCCTATAACTGTTAATCCTAAACAATAACAATAATAAAACAAACAATAAAATGCTAGAATACTATAATAATGATCCCCTGCGTGGCTCTAAACAGTCCACCCTCTTAACATAACCCGTCTCTGTATATTTTATATCTCATTGAGTTATATATTACATAATAATAATGCAAGCAATACATTTATTGTGTTTTCTCACCTTCTGGGTGCAGTGGGCACCACCAGGGCCTGTTCGCTGCCCGTGCCACTGTCTCTGGCCAGGGGCGCGTCTTCAGAGGCGTGCTCCATCTTCTGAATACGATTTTACAGAGGAAAGTCCACACTTTATACACTGTGGATATCAAAATAATCTATTGGATAAGAAGTCGACTCTTTAGTACGGGGTGGAGGGAGGTCCCTGTCAATTTATCATTTTGGGACAATCTGATTGGTTGAATTTAGTATGCGTCACTTGTTGCTTAGAGGCAGACAACTGAAAGTTGTGTGCGACTGTGACAGGAGCCAGGTCACATCCATGGAGAGGTCACAATATACATTATCACATCATAGGCTAAATGCGGGTGGTGAATGAATGAAGTGGACCTATCTGTTCAGTTTCTATAATAATGAAAATAATAATCGGCAACAGATGGACTGACAGGGGCAAGAAGTATTAGGCTACAGATGGACTAAGTGGGTTTAGTTCTAAGAGAACTAAAGACTAGAGACTTTATGTCTACAGAAAACAACCAATTCTTCAGCAATGAAACTCAAAATACTTTTTATTTCAATCCAGTTAAATTTTTCAAAATGATCAAAAATGCATTTAAAGTAACAATTTTCAATTGTTGTCATTGTCATAACTTCATTCTACCTGACATGACTCTACTGTATGTCCGTCATATTTAATATGGTTATTTTCAGTGTCTGCATTTGATTATTAACAGAGCATTGTCCCTGTGATTCTGTGACAGCAGAAGAGAGATTGCTGTGACCCGTAATAAAGATGAAATACATGTCAATTAATGCACTTAAATATATTTTATTTAAAAAGCACTCTTATACATAACACCACTGGAAGACACCGATATGAGAATAAACATAAACAGAAGACCTATGTATGGCGAGAATAGTAAGAACACCTAAGTATTAACACCGAAGAAGTGTTAATTACTTCTTCATGAAGAAAACCAATTCATATCTTTGCTTCATTTGTCAAAATCATCTGGAAAAGCACACAATGTTTCATTAATTGAAAAGATATAAAACATAATAGTTAGAATAAATAAGTTACCAAACTTACCATTCAGGTCATAAAGTTGGAGCATCACTTTTGGAGCCTCCAGAGCTGTCTACTTTCAGAGATTTAGGCAACTCGGGGTCTGAGGAGGCCTTACCTGGAAAATTTTAACAGTTAATATTTTTTTTAATTCTTATTTTACTTTGACAACTCATTTAAGTTTTATAACAACTCTTACTTTTCCAGTCCTCTTTGACGGGTTTGTCTCGTTCATTAGGGCTGGTTTTGGATTGGTGGGATCTCAAGACTAAAATGTACAGAAAATACAATTTGATTTGGCCATCACTGTTGTGGGGCAGTTGGTTTGAATCAGTGGCTTACTTTTCTCACAGTCAGGAAGGTCAGAGTGTAAAGGTGAGGTGTAAGAGCCCTCAATGAGAGATCCGCTCTCGTCCACACACCAGCACTGTCGTGTGTTGTTTGAGCACCTGATCCCGGGAACAGCTTCAGCCTGGGCGTGGTCTTTAACTACAGAGATAAAAACAATGACTTGAAATCTGATCAGGTAACTTTTGACTCTCAATTTATAGGTAATAAGATAAAAAAAAAAAAAAACAAAAAAACAAACAAACAAACCTGGATGTACTTGGGGATCCTTCTGGTCCTGTATTTGCTGCCCCTGGCTATAGACCTGAGTCAACAGCAGCAGACAAACCAGAGTGGTGATGACTGCTGTCTTCAGAGCTGGGCTGTTTGCGCCTCTGTTTAACAACACAAAAGGAAAATGTATCCACCATTATATCATCTTCAGTTGTATCATTTATTTTGTATCATATATCATAATTAAAGATAGGATTAAATGGGAAAAGGGAATATAAGTGAAATGTCTGAACTTTATGACGCAAGACAACACAGTTTATAGACTACTTTCAATTCCAATACAAATTTAGGTCTAAATTTTGTTTGCTACTAAATCAAATTAGATAATGATAAAGTAGCCCCCATACACTTTTAATTTAACACAATATTCTTTCCCTCCATTTAATTATAGCTGACGTTTTAGTTTTGATTTACAATTTACAGTTTTGACTAGAACATTTTTAGCCAATAGCAACAGCTTAGCTACATAATCACTAGTTGCCAGGCAGAGACCAGATAAAACTTTTTGAGAAAATAGGCCTATCGATCACGCAAATGTTACTGCATCCAAAATATGCTACATGAATAAACAAGCTTAATCCCCTGTCCGGTAGCTCTGAACACAGTCTATCTTTGTATACTTTACATATAACAAAAATACATTGTTTTTTTCTCACCCTCTGGGTCCAGTGGGATCTGTCATTGCTGATTATGATTTTTATTTTTTTTTTATAAAGCAAAGCAAAAACACTATGCACACTGTGGGTTACTTAAAAAATGAATTGAATAAGAAGTAATTTTTTGTGCTGATGTATAGAGGGAAGTCCCAGTTAATTATATTTTTTCCTCATGGCTCTGATTGGTTAAGTTTAGAATGTGTCACCTAATAGTTGCCAGAACAGAATGTAGTACAGCTGGTTCGACTGTGCCAGAAAGAGTCTAAGATAGCATAAGAAAGTTGAAATCTGTCAACATTTTTTAAAGAGTGAATGTTTTGCTACTCATCACATAGCACTATTATTACCAGGGCTCTGTAATGCTGTGACCTGTAACAGTGATGACTGGTGGCATAAATGAACAATCAAAGTACTTGGATTAATTGGACAATTTTTTATTTCAAAAGCAAAATCATAAAGATCAATATTGAGAAACACCAATTTAAGAATAATAACAGATGAGAAATATATAATTATTCAATTAGGGCCTATATACTGTAACATAAGTGCTTGGTGTACTGAAAACTACAGTAGCAGATCCTGTTCTGAAAAACAAAAATATAAGTGCAAATTATCCCATTAAGAAGAAACAGTCACCCAGGATTCTTCAGCTGTTTGCTTGAATTGTCAGCCTAATCTGGAAAAGCGCAAATGTTGTATTTATTGAAAAAGTTCAAAACAAAATAGTTAAAAGAATCATTCAAATATAAATATGTCAAACTTACCTGTGAGGTCTGCCAACATCAGAGTATTACTTTTGGTGCGGCGGGCCCTCAAGACTAAAATGAACAGAAAATATCATTAGAAACTGTCATGACTGTTGTGGCGCACTTGGTTTAAACTGGTGTCTTACATTGGTCACAGTTGGGGCGGCCCTGAGTGTTGGAGCCGTCAATGGGAGTGCCGCTCTCATCCACGCACCAGCACTGGCGTGTGGCGTGCCAGCACTGCATCCTCTTGTAGTTGCCCTGCTCATCACACTGAGGCCTGTAGGCGCCAATCAGCCCGCTCACTCCAGCAGCAGCTTCGGACTGGCACTTGGTCTTAACTTCAGAAGCTAATACACAAAGTAATGACTTGAAATTTGGTCATGGTAACTTTTTGGCGACAATTTATAAGAAATAAGAAAGAATGTTATAAAAACCTGGTTGAGGTGTGGGAGCCTTCTGGGCCATTTGGAAGATCAGCCAGTAACGTAGCCAAGATTCCAAGCTCTGAAACAGTGTTTTTATTTTGTTAAAAATTGTCACTTTTAAACTTTAACAAAGACAAAAGATTGTTTTGTCACCTTCCAGGAGGTCTCATTGACCTGCTGCTTCAGGGTCTGCAGGTTAGCCAGGAACGTTTTGTTGAAATGAGGAAGCTCCAAATCCTAAACAAAGAGAAACACTTAATAATGAACAATGGGAGCTAGTAACAGCACTGGCTACAGGAGAGGACTAAGACAACAGTGAAATTTAAAGATGTTGAAATGAAGAGAATATTATAAACCTTCATGAGATCCATTAGCTGTTCCTCCACACTGGGAGGACTTGGGGTCTTGTTCAGCTGCACCAATTACCACGAGGGCAGAGATTAGAAATTGTTGTTAAGTAAAAATGTGGTTAATTAAATTACATTATTCAAGATGGTGGTGGCTAAAATACCTTAGGTGCTTCTTTTGGTGTTGTCGGATTTGGTGCATTGCTGTCATCAGAGAAGTCCAGGAGGGGCATGCTAGCCATTGGCATCACCATTTTCTGTGGGGACACTGTCCGACAAAGCACAATTAACTCAGGAAATCAAACTGATGTTTCTAGGACAGGTGAGAAGGTCCTGCATGGTTACCTCGTGAGCGCAGAGACACCTGCTTCTCCATCCTCTGGTTGGTGGCTTGCAGGTCCTGAATCTGCTGCTTCTGGTCAAACATCATGTAGGCAGTGAAGACCTGAGCGGACACTAGCAGACAGACCAGAGTGGTGATGCCAGCGATCTTCAAAGCATGTCCGTTTGAGCCTCTGTTTAATCACACAAAAGAGAAATTAAGAGAGAAGCATTTGACAGGGAGGTGAATCCTTGTACAAATGCATATGTGGTTAATGTTATAAAAAAGAGGGAGCATATCACCCTTTTACTTAGAAAGGAGAAGTGTGCATTCTCTATGGAAGGAGGAGCTCAGGTCGACAAAACTTTAAAAATGCCATTTTGTGTTTGTTTATGATGTTTTTGAAATAATGTTTATATTTATTATAAATAAATATAAACATTATAAATATTAATTATAAATTATTTTATTATTTATGTTTATTTATAATGTTTTTAGTTTTCCATTGTTTACTAGTATTTTAAACACTTTTTGTCTTAATTTTGTTTTATTTAATAAGGTCAACATTTTAATCCCGTCCCCTGGGACTGTATGAAGCACTTCATATATATATATATATATATTATTTAATCTAAATCTATTAAGTCTATTAAGTGAAATCAGTATTTAACTTCCCCTTTTGTTTCTATGAAAGGCTTACTTATTTTTTTCTACCAGTAGGATTAAACCGTGTCATTAGTTGCCAGGCAGAGCTCAAATAAAAACTTGCTCATGCCTGTGTCCCAAACTCGCTGTTCCACATTTTTGTTTTATCTAGTTTCCCGTAAGACCCCCCGTCAGATAATATATATAACATATATAATATATAACATATATTATCTGACAAGAGAATCCCAAACTGTGTTTGAAATCAACTTGAAATAAACTAAACGTTTTTAAATTTAGGTAGCCATAGTTTAGCTATTTGTATGCAAAAATAGTACTGTTTCATAGTACGTTTATAGTTTTATGCAAAGTGTATTAGCCCAGTATATTCGTGGCCCAGTGGAGTCTTCGGGACCATCGGCCGCGGTGCGTCAAACTTGGGAACAGCTTCAATGTCCAGATAAGACCAAAAAAGAATGTAGCCCCAAGTGTAAAAGTTACCTATTCTAGAGTAACGTTTTGACATAACTGATATAGGCTTATGAGCCATGTTTAAAAATAACACCAGTAAAATGGTAAATAAATAGCCCCATGGTGCGGTTGCGCTCACCCGGGTGTTCCAGAGGCCGGTATCAGGACTTGCTCGCTGCCAGCGCGGCTGTCTGCGGCCAGAGGTGCTTCTTCAGAGGAGTGCTCCATCTTCTTTGTGTCGCACTTAATTCACAGGGAAATGTGTACACACGATATGCACAATGTAGAAATGAAGGTTTTATGAGGAAGAAACAGATTCTAAGGTAAGGTGGCAGGGAAGTCCCTGAATATTTGAGCAGCTCGCGCTCTGATTGGCTAATTTTTGATGCCGTCATGTGTTGGCAGTCAGATGCTTGAAAAAAGTTTGGCATGTCATTGACATTTTAAGACTCAAGTACATTAATAATAATCTATTGTAGTGGGGTACAAATCAGAGGTGAGAACTTGAACTCTAGTCAGACTTGAGTCACTATTTTTAGGGCTTGAGACTTGACTTTATAAAATAAGCTAAAACTTGGGACTCGACTTGGACTTAAAGCTCAATGACTTGGGACTTGACTCGGACTTGAGGCCTGTGACTTGAGAAGATGCTTCTCTAAAAATATGTTTTTAGAAAATACTTTTTTTTTTTTTTACAGTTGATAAAGCGGCACTTAATTTTAAAGGAACAAATTGGAACATGTCGCTCCCATTTCGGTTTGGTACTTTGGATGTAACTGAAGTACTGTGTCATCAAATGTACTACAGTAATATAAAGTACAATGCAGTAAAACAGAGGGAACTACACAGAACCTGATCCTTCCATTTCAGTGCAGACTAAATGACAAAATAACTGTAATTAAGCACTTTTAAATCTGCATTATTTTTATTCTACCCATAATGAATCACACTAAGATCTTGTCAAGACATTTAAAAAAGAAAAATGTCAATTTCCAAAACTCTTATACTCACATATAAATATACCATGACTTTTTCAGTACAATTTAGTTTAAAAATGTTAAAAATTGCAAAAATCTAAGCTATATTTGGTACTTTGATTTAAAGTAACTTGAAATGACTTGACTTGGACTTACGGGCCAGTGACTCAAAACTCGACCTGGACTTGCCTGTATTTGACTTGAGACTTGACTTGGACTTGAGGTCAAAAACTTGAGACTTACTTGAGACTTGCAAAACAATGACTTGGTCCCACCTCTGATACAAACAAAGAAAAAAATAAGCATATACTGAAAAATACAGTGGTGTTTTATTTGCAAATTAAAAAGCACCAACAATATTAGTTACACTGTAAAAATTATTGACAACAATTACAAATCTTTACCATACAGTCCAGGAGATTAGTACCATCGATGCCGTTATGAGTTATCACATAATACTTTAAATGGAAAGACTAGTACCTTAGTCTGTACAGTAGTTGGCAGTGAGAAGACATAAAAGACAATCTTAGCGAAACTTCCCTGTACAACACTCCCAATTGTTCCTTTGTACAGCACGGACATTTCACACTACGGGAATGAGCAGATGGACAGAGCAAACCCAAAAACATTCAATAATTTAGGTCTAAGAGTCGCTTTTATGTACATTACAAAGTCAGGAAATGAATGGACCAACATGTGCATTTTTGTCTCAACATTGTACAAAACTATTGCAATTAAGAGCAGCTTTTATCGTCTAATCTTGACATCTACTTGCAGTGGTAAAGTCTTCAATGGCAACCAAATGTTCTCAGTATACTTGGTCTTCCTGGCAACTTTATAACACACTCCAAAATAAAGAAATGGCGAAAAAAGTATCTCAAATTTCAACAAAATTGAAATGTACACTATGTGAATGTTTCGGACCAGAGTGCAGAATTAATACAGTAGTTAGCTTATACTATTCTTCACAGATTGTTGTAGTGTTTGTGTGCTTCCCTGTAAACGTTGTATTGTACATTATTTTAATATTATCACCGTCTGACTTCCTTATATATTGTGCTTACGTCATCTATCCAACTGTCCCTGCTTTGGCCAATGAAGTGGTCATGAAACTGACTTAAGATGAGGCCGAGCAGCTGAATATAATAAAATAAAAATCCTAAAGTAACCTGTAACTGAGCTACAATGTTTAAATTGGTACATTCTACAATAATCCATTACAGACAGTATTAAATAATTGTTAAAACAATCTCAGGGCGAAAGAGAACAAAAACATACAAATAAAAAAATAAGAACCCTCATAATAGGAGTCCATATTATGATGAAGATTCTGTCCTGGCACTTGTAAATGTGATAACTAGATTGTACCAAGGCCTATCATGTAAGGCTACAACCCCGCAGCCTCGAGATTTGAAACTCCGGTTCTTGCGTACAAATATTTCTCAAGGCGTTTTCGAACAATGTCACTTTTCCATGCAGTCAAGGTGAAGTTCTTTATTTGCTCCAACACTGCAACTCATATTTAGCTTGGTATGAGGCTGAGTCCATCTCTGTCATGTTTCTATACTCCATGTTGTAAGGAAGCAAAGATTATTGGATGCGTTTTCCCAAATAAATCAAGGTCCATTCTTCCAAAGGACAGAAAGGAGGCCAGTACATCCAAGATCCTTAACCCTCTTCATGATCACATCTTGTCTTTGATAGATCGCATGAAGTAAATTTTCAGTTCCTCCATCCTTCTGATAGGGATAAGTAGTGGTTTTATTTGTGGAGTTGAGATCTCCGCTGCCTTGATGCTACCTCGTGTGGACCAATTCTTCTCTGAGCCAACTGGGCAGAGGTTGACCCATTCTATACAGGAGCTTTGAAAGTTCAATGTTGTGATCCCGATAATACTCCCTGAGGAATGCCTGGGACTGAGGACAAGAATGAAAAAGTTATATGAGAAGAGAGAGAGAAAGAGAGATACTTTACTGATCCTGAGGGAAAGTCAAGTAAAAGTAAGAAATTCAAGTAAAAGATAATAATACATTTAATGCAATTTTTCTTTCAACCAATCTTACCTCGGGGCCCATGTCAGGGTACCTCCGGCCTTTGCTCTTCCCCAGACACTTGGTCTTCCCTCCTTCGAGCAGCTGACACCAAAAACCTTTCTTGGGATCAAACCTGTACATTGAGAAAAGTAATGAACTTTATAGTAATAATATTTACAAAAAGACTCCAATTCATACCCAAATGGTGTATTTAAGTCGATACGTACGCTAAGATTTTATGGTAATTGATGATATTGGCCAGACCCAGAAACTTTTGGATTTTGTCCATGATAGAGGCTGGTTCAGTTTTTAGCATCTGCCCATCTAAGACCAGCAGCTGGACAAAGAAACACAAACAAGTGTTATTTTCCATTTCGTATCTATTTAGAAGTGTTTTATATACCTCAGTGCAATCCCAAACTCCCATTAAATGTAAGTACCGTCAGTGAAAGCAAATGATTTCCTTAACTGATTGTTGCTAAGTAGTGGTTTTGAACGCACCTGACTGGAGTGATAATAGTTGAGCCAGCGCTCCATGTGCACAGCATACCACCCTGGGACCAGGCAGCGGTTCTGAAGGACCCTCAGTCGGATGGGAGCTTCGTGTCCCGCGGTGATGACTTCATGGAAGGAGTATTTCAGTGCAACTGGGTCGTCATGTGCTCTTTGGTGCTGCAGCAGACAGAGAGCATTTTAAAAATATGAGCACTACACCACTTCTAATATACAAACTATCATTTGCATAGGAACCACATCTGAACACATCAAAAATACAATTTAAACTACTAAGTAACTAAGAGTTACTAGCATTGCAGAGAACACCAGTTTCCAAATGTGATTAAAAACCGGAAGAATAGGGTGAATATTATTCTTTACTTGTCACCATTCCTCACCAGCCGACACAAATACATTTGAATGACTGAATCCAAAATAACAGAGGTGGGTGGTGTAAAATCTTGCACCTCAGCAGTGAGCGGGGTATTTTCTGAGGTGTGTGTGACTCAGAACGGACCTGATACCAGGAGTACGCTCTGTCGGCTGGGTTGATGAGGATCGTGATTATCTTGGCTTTGGGCAGGAGCGCTGCAGCCCTCTGAGCAGCCACTTCAGAGTCAAAGTAGTTGGCACTCTTCTCAAAATAGTAGTCGGAGCTGGTGTTGGAAGGGAGGGGGAAGTACTCCATATACCTAGAAACAGCATTATTCAGTGTTTAATAAATCACATGATCGTTTCATTTCATAAGAATCTAGCAGCGTGTTGTGTTGTGTGGGTGTTTACTTGGCAATCTGCATACAATAAGAAAATAAGTAAATATAACCACTGTAATCATATCTATCCAACTTCCTTGTGAAGAGAAAAAAAAAAAAAAAAAAAACTCCTGCCAACTTTTTTTCTTTTTTGTTTTCACAGGAACTTGTTTTGTGTAGAGTGCCAGAGTAGTACGTTTTAAACCCAATGCACATATTTGTACACGCTCCATAAGATGAATATAATTTATTTGTGTTCAATTTAGTGATCATGTTTCCTACCAGTCAATCCCCCTGTGGTAGTTATGGCCATTGAAGAATTGGATCTCCTCAAATGTCTCTTTGCTGGGGTAGTTACTAGTCAGGTCGGGATGCATGCCAAGAAACAGGTACAGTGCTGTTGTTCCTGTGTTAACACAAACAGACATATGAAAGACAAAGATAAAATACAGTAGCTCTCACATGACTACAGAAATTACATAACCAAATAGGCCTGACATGACAAATACTATTACAGACTTATCTTTCAATACATGACAGATGGAACATTATATTTTGTAGGTCAATATTTATTGTGGGGAAATTTCTTTTTATTAATGGGGAAGTTTTTCTATTTTTCTATACTACGATAAGATTTGAACTGCAGAACGTTGAATAAATGACTCATTACATACACAAACTAACTTCTAAATGTATCATTCTGCTATCTATTTATTGCAGTTTTTATATAATACTGTACATTCAGAATATTATTTAAGGCAAATACTAATAGTGTCAGTGACATAAATGAGGTTCAGTATTATTGTTTATCATCTATATTTTCTTCATTGATATATATCGAACTTCAAAATTTGTTATTGTAAATGCTTATGACCAAATCAATTTGAAGTTACTGAGAAGTGAATTTCTTGTTTTGTCCTGTAGGAGGCACAGAAGGACTGTGTCTGACCTGTCTTCTGAGGCCCGATGACAAGCAGTTTGGGAAAGCGGTCACATGTTTTCTCTTTGGACCAGATGTCCTTGTGCCTTTTGTCCTCACAAGGATCCTGTAGCCGCAAAAGATAAACAATCCCTTGTTTATTAGACAGTAAACAACAGAGATCATCTATAAACAGAAGAGAGGTGCAGCAGCCACTTTTGAACAGGGAAACGAACAGGTTCAAATATTTGTACCTTAATCTGTACAGTACAACATCATCCAACTACATCAGTTAACCAAACAGTACAAAAGGGCCATTCATTCATTTAGGACAACTTGTGTTTATCAGCAAAAACTGCAACTTTCCCAAATGCCCAATATAACATTATCACATTATTGATTTTTTATACATATAAAGATCTAACATGCCCCTTCCTATGAGAACCTAATCACATCCATATCCATTTACATAGTCATAACTTGTATTACTTTTTGCAAGCTTGTCAAATGCTTTACAATCCCATTACTCATTGGCCACACTCCATTTCAGTCATGGACACAGCTGCACTGGACTAATACAGGCCAGAATGGCAGTAACAGCAAGTACAAAAGGACACAATACCACACTTTTATCATGGATTGAACTGCAAACCTTTAGGTTAGTGGGCAAGTGTCTCTGCTGACTAAATGTATATAATGCGTTATTTTGTAAATAAAAGTCTGACTTAGTCCGCCTAACCTGCCAGAGGGGGTCTCTCTCTGATGGGAACAGGCTGAAATACTTCTGAGCCAGCTGAATGGGTGGAAGAGTTTGCATCTTCAGATTGGTCCATGTCTTCACAAACATCACCAGGCTTTTAAAGGTGTAAAGGCCAAGGCGGTCATTGCCATAGTTTGATAAATGGGTCATAAATATACTTATCTGTAAAAATATAGAAAACAATCATTTGAATTGGTTAGAGTTGTCTTAGTTGTTAAACAAAAAGCAGACAATAATATGATTAAAGTCTGATTGAAACAAGATAATGGCAGAGCCATTTTAATATCATTAAATCAAAGCAATCTGCATGGTGTCTGTTGATGGTAATTTAAGTCTTTTGCCTAAGGGATTGTTCATGGAGATTGTGCATACAACAAAAATCACAGATAAACTTTAACCAAGCAGAAAGAGCAGTACAAGTGAGTACAAAGCAGTTTATTCCTTTTAATTTATATTGGCATAAGAGACAATATAACTTGACTCACAGGGTTGAGCAGAACGGTCTGGAAGAGCTCCCCTCCGTTGATGAGTTTGTCCAGTTCATTTGGGCTGCCGGGGTAGTCTTTATAGAAAATGGTGTGTGTGAAAAGACCACATGTCTGTCTGGGAAGCACCTGCGATATCACCAAACAGAAGGGGCAATGAAAAAGGTGAAAAAATATCACACGGAGCTGACACAAAGAGGCCTCAAACAAATGAATCCCAGCAAATAAACAGCGTCCCTCCACCGAGAGAGGAGCAGAGACGTCAGTACTCCAGGCAGTTACCCCACACATTGTTTGCTTTCAATAACGTTCATATTATGCAGCTCATCTAGGCAAAGCAAACCTTTTATTCACTCTGAGTCTATATGGAAATTCATGGAAATGCGTTTACAGTTTTGAGTGTCTGGGGAACTGAATATCAATCATCGGTAAGCAGTGGAGACTGTCCATTCAAACGTTGCTATCTCAAGGACAGGACCGGAGCGCTGAGACCACACAAGCGGCCTGAATGCCAAGACTACAAAAGGACTGGACTGGGGCGGCAGTTGTTTGCTATCAGCACTGAAGGTCAAATGTGCGGAGAAACCGATAAGATTTTCTCTTTTCTTTAAGCCTTTTGAAGGAAATCCATTTCATTTTGCTCTTATAACTAATATTATTCTATAGCTGCAGGTGCGGTGTAGCCAGTTGAAGTCCATCTTTTTGGTGTTGACATTTGAACGACTGGTTGTTTGTGGACACTTGATGCACTGCTGTGAGCCGTGTCAGTCTTGGTTTTGTTGTGAGGGCTTTCTCGACAGCAGTACAAGTCCCTCATGTAAGACAAGCTTACTTAAGGCATTATCTCTCACTCCATTGTGGATACACCGGTGCTTACAAGACTAATGAATGCTGCTATTGAGTTGTGTTAATATTAGCATTAGAAAAATATGTTTTTAGCACACAAAAGAATGAGTAGTTTGGCATATTGGATGAAATAGATAATTATTGTTATGCAGAACCTGGCCAGAGGTAACAAACTGAGAATTTCTCACAAGTTTATATGAAGTCTACGGTTTCCATTTATCCTATATGTCAGTGGTACCCAGACTGTGGAGCATGAACTGCCTCTGGTGGTATGCTGGATCTCTTTCCTGTTTCAAAGTTTGTTTTATTTTGAGAAAATAAAACTACTACTGTTTTTGTTCTTTTTTGAGTTTGTTATTTTAAAAGGACTGCCTTATCCATATTTTAGTCATTTTAGACCTGGTTTAGCCCTCCATTAAATCTGATATAGTCTGGATTTACATCTGGTGGTATTCGAAACCCAAATATTACCTTTGGTAGTACATGTATGAAAAGTAAAAAAAAAACTGCTTTGAGAACCACTTCTTTTAACTATTTACAAATATATTTAATTTATTATGGAAAAAGGGTTATCACACGCTATACTCATTACTATACCCCTTGTTCTTAGTCTATAGAAAGATAATAACTAAAAAGCTGGACTGTGCTATGGGTCTTACACTGATGCCACTGTGGATGAAGCCACGTCTGAAGCGAGCAGGTTTGAGGTGGGGGTATTCTTCGGTGCTGGTCACTTTAATGCCCCAGACCTTCTTCCAAGCATCATACAGCTGCATGTGCACAGGGTACACACCCGAGTGATGGGGGGCCACAGCGTAACCCATGTTTGTAGGGATCCCATGCTCCTGTGAACACAACAATGAATGTGGTCTGATTTCAAAAAGTCTGTAGTTCACTCAAGAACAGAGTATAGTAAGCATTTTATATTTAAATGAATCACAATAATACATACAAAAAAAACGGAAGGAAAATGCTCAATAACAAACACAGGCAATTTTTGAGAATACTACATACAACTCTACCATCTCCATATTATAATCTGAATTTTACTATATAACACAAAGTAATACTAGTTTGTTTGATTTCACCATGCGGCCATACTAGTTTTAGTGTTAATCAATATCTGGTTAATATCTGGGTTTTGACACTCCTAAAAATATATTTGATGAGTTTGTGAAAACTCAGCAAAAATCTGTTGACCAGAGGAATCTGTGGGTCAGAATTTTCTATAAATAGTATAAAAAGGGAATTAGTATAGATGACCTGATGATTTTGTCGGAAGTGACTAATGATATGAATAATTTGTGACTTGTTAGGTTAGTTTAATATGGACTTGATTATGTGAATATAAGACATTAATAATTTGAAAAGTGCTGTTTATTTGGCCACAGATTTTGACAACAGTGCCGTTCTCACAGCCATTGCGTAGGTGGCTTGATTTTGACCTTTGACCCTGTGACTCACCATGGCAAATTTCTTATTGAGCAGCATCTGTTCGGCCAGAACCGACTGATTGTGGAAGAGATGTGGCTGCATGTGGCTCCACATGTGAGGAAACCACCAGAACTCCTTCACATAGGACAGCAGCAGGTCGTCTCCAAGGTCCTCCTCATCAGAGCCTGAGATTGGACACACACAGAGCGGTCAGAGCAGCCACAGAGGAAATTACGCCGATAAAACTGTGGACAGTGACAAAGCAGTGCCAAGGGTGAAATATGGTCAGTGATGAAAAATGGAGGAAATGAGTCAAGTTCAATTTTCGGTGTGAAGAATGGGATGAGAGGAGGGAGCTGAAGCATTGAGTTATCACTGCAGAAGAGTTATTAAGCCACTATAATCAACAGTCCTCACCAGCGTGGAAGAACTTCCCTGAGAAGCCCAGATTGAACGTGAAGTTGGGGACATGGGTGCGTAGCTCCTTCTGTGTCTCTAACAAGGCCTGAGAAAGTAAGAGGGAAAGAAACGTCAGCACAATGCTCACTATACTAACTCAAGATACACAAGGGTGAATTAATGAACTCCACCACAAGCATCTATACATACATATTTTATTCTCCAAGTTTTTTCGGTAAACACAAACCATGTCCCAGTTGCCTGACTCTTGATTCTGTTTGATATGTTCTCCTCTGATTCAGATATTTGTTTCATTTGATCTCCATACTCCCAGCTCACACCCTCGACTTCACTCTCTCCATCTTGTCAGGGTGTGATTCGTTTCTAAAAGTGCTGCCAGTGAGCGGGCCTTGAAGCTCCCACCACCACTTTCACTGCAGTCTCTGTCTCCAACATGCGAGGGGTCTGTTCTGCTCTGAGGGGACGCGGGCAGGAGCTTTTCAACATTCTTTGTATGTCTCTGGGCCCCTGAAATATTCATTGCTGTGGAGCTTCTGTGACAGTGTGAGCAGTGGGGCCTGTCAGCTTTGAGAGGCCTACTGGGACAGGCGCATTCAATAGAAGAAGAAGGGGAAAAGGGTTCTAGATGACTGGCAGAGGGCAGCTGACAATATATGCTACACTGTTTTTAGATTTTAGCTAAAGTTTTCTTTTTTTAATGGTCATAGTTATAAGTCAGATGTCATGTTAAACCCACCTTCACATCTGGCACCTTCATGCGGGTGCCCTCCTTCCCAACAAAGATATCATCTATATCGACCAGAAGGTATCGGTCCAGGGACAGAGACAGTCTCTTCCCCGTCAGAAAGGCCACAGCGTCCACAAACACCAGCTTGTGCAGCCAAAACACCAGGTTGTTGCCAAACAAAACCCTTTGGATGCCATCATGGAGGCCCAGGTCCTGCACCACAGAGGGGAGCAGGGCTGCGTTTTGCCCAATGGAGGCCACACTGTCGGCAGACTGAGTTTTTGCCAGCAGCACAGGCTCGTATGTTGAGTGGTTGGACTGGAACACTGTCCAATCGTCCCCGGGAAGAGGTCCTGGCAAGGGCTGCCCTGACCGAGTGATGAAGAGGAGCGGAGACTTGGGGTTCACGGTGCAGTCTTTCAGGCCCAAGTTGGAGTGAAGGAAGAGTGGGAAGCCTTTGAGCTGGGCACTGAGCAGACTGTTTTCATTGGCCTAATCAAAAAAGAGACAGAGAAATCACACAGATATACTGGAGTGATGAAGACAGAAATGTATTGGATATAATTCCTCAATTCATCCAATCATGTGTGAAATAAGGAACGTCAGGCCTAGTCAAACGTCAAGACACAGACAGCTTATACCTGCTGCTCAATCTGCAGAGCTGACTGCAGTCAAACGAATAGCCTCCTGCAGTGTCCTTTAACATTCAGAGTCTGAGGGCTTTATTATTCATTAAAATCTCCTCTTCAGAAGTCGTCATTCTCCAATTCTGTCACATCTCTGTGCCACACACTACTTTACTTAATCTTTCAGCACCCTGTGTGTGGACCGCTCACATCAGAGTAATATTAATCATAACCATCTGTGTTTAGATGCTCAAAACAACTTTGGCTCATCTTGTCCTCAAGCCGTTTTCTGTTCTGCATTTAGTAAGTAAGGTGTCCTTTATAAAGTCCAACTTTCATTATTCAATATACACACAGTAATGATATTGATAATTCATTGGTAGTTAAAAGCAAAGACAAAAAATAATTTGATTAAAAAAAAGAATTCCTGACTACCGTACATTAAATTGAAAGTGTAAATCGTGCAAAAAATAAATATATTTAATCCTATTCTGGTGTGAAAATCAGCACCTCTCTTTTTACCCAGATTACATGATGTGTGTTTGTTTGCATCATTGAAATGCACACTGTAAACTTCCCAATAGACAGTAAATCCCAGTAGGCTTTCCTAACCTTCACCTACACAGCACAACCATCTATGCTTGCACTTCTATCTATATTCTTCCTGTGGCTCAGAGATAGTGATTAAAACCATAAGGCCTGAAAACTGGCCTTCGGCAAACAGGCGCAGCTAGGGATTATGTGAGAGAAAGAAAAGGAGGTAGAAACTGCGAAAGAGTGAATAGCTAGAAGTAAAACAGAAGGAGTGAAAACAAAGAAATAGAAATAAAAGTCAGTGAGAGAAGAGTGGATCACAGCAGATTGCAGTAAAGGAAAAGAGGAGGCAAATAGAGCAAGAACATTGCAGTGGGAACAGTGAGATTGGCGCATACAAGTCTTTGAGTCCCATTTCCTGAGACAGAGCAGATGTACAGGGCTGGAGTGTGAGAGGGCAGTCTTACCTTGAAGAAGCCAATGATGCCCACACCGTACTCCACACAGTATTTGTCCAGCAGCTCCCTGTTCCATGCGTCTAGGTTCACGTACTTCAGAATGTTCTCATAAATTACCAGTGTGAATCGCCCTCTCTCTTTGTCCGTAAGTGTGGGCATGTCCCCTTTACCAGGGGATATCTCTGTCCTATAGCGGAAACGGCCTGATTCCAAAATGGCCACAATTTCTTGACCCAATTGAGAATACTGACTCTCCACAAACACCAAAACCACAGGATCTGTCCTTGCTCCTGCAGGGTCTCCTCCAGGACCCCCCGGGACTCCACGCAAAGGTAATAGCCTTGAAGGGGTGACCCTGAGGTCGTCCGAGTCGGCCGACGCTCCCTCTGACCCGGACACGCCCCCTCCTGAAGGCTCCAGCTCCCGCTTGACGCCATACAGGAAGTAGGCCGAGATGAAGACGCTGATGGTACAGAAGAGGAAGAGTAGGAGCAGGGAGGTCTGCAGGGGGAGGAGACGCACCAGCCGACGGACACGGGTCACGCATCCCAGCATCGTCTCTTGGGCCTCTCTGCCCCGCCTGCCAGGCTACACGCCGTGGGGCGTGCTTACAAAGGTCTACAGGGACTATTTACAAATGTTTCAGTCTCAAAGTCTCAATAAGGAGAAAAACACGAAACATGCAAAAGAAGCAGCCGCAACAGCGACTGGAGAAAGAAAGGACACGGTCTCACAATGGCTCTCCCTCATACTGCAGCACTGCTTATGTCACCATGGCAAAGAGTCGAGGGGCCTCTTCGCACCGCACAGGCTGATGCCTCGGAGGCAGTGCTGGGACACGTCAGAGCAAAGCGATGATGGAGGACTCCATCACCTGTCCGTCATGTGAACCTGCCGACCATGTCCTGACTGGAGCTGGCCCCACGGTCTTGATTGGAGGATGATCTCTGGAGGAAAGAGAGGCCACGCAGGTCATTGCAGCACCACCATCCCCACAGGACTATCTTCTGACCTGGAAAAACGGGAAAAAAACATTAAATTGAGAAGCCGAACTGGACTCCTATAGCATTAAACTGTATCTTTTTGTGTGGGCTCAGTTGTGTGGGTGATGCATGTGTGACTACCACATGCCAATACTCCCAAACTTCAAAACTAGTCACAGTAAAACCTGCCAGCAGCCCTTCGAGCACACACACTAACGCACATTCACTAATACACACATACAGACACATACACGCACATACTTAATTTTGTGTGTCTGTAAATGTAAACTCATGCCTGCGCCTCCAAATAATCAATAGGCAGAGTGGCAGTGACAACAAAGGCTTGAGGCGAGCCAATCTTCATTTTCGTCCAGTAAGACTGACTGTGAAGCCATCACCCGCGGGGACACTCGCCTTCTATTTCCTTCAAATCCTCACCAGCGACCCAAATAGAGTGCACAAAGGGAGGAAAGAAAGATGATGGGCCAAACGCAAAATCATAGCAGTGGTTGACAATGACAGAATTGGCAACAATAGAAGCTAGTACTTTCAGAAATGCCTTCTTTTTTTTAAAATCATACTTCCACACACCTATCGCACCTAGCAGCCCTTTAGTCAATATCCATCAAGAAAAGTGTGGATTACAATAGTACGGCACAGGACAGTGTGAACTCAAACATAATTTTTCCATTTAGACACTCAGCAGAGAGAAGTGACAGACTTTCATTACGTTTGCATGCTCAGTCCATTAAAACACAGGGCTACTGAGGGGCACACTCACCACATTTATAAAACCCTTGATAGAGGGTTATACAGCCACAACCATCTTAACCCAAAAGCATTAAACAATGTCCACCAAAGCCATTAGGGCTCATCAAAATCAAATTAGACATAAAATGAATTTGATAATGCCATCAATGGGTTTATAAGGAGCACTATCATCTGAGTTTTAATTAAAGGTGCACTACATTAAAAATACAAGAGAAGCCATGCCACACTCATTACAGCGATACCTGCCACAACCCTCATTTATCTTGCGCTTGATGAATTATTGATTTTTACAGCAAGACCTGAAAATGGCAAGATTTCAGATAATTTCAGAGATCAGTTTATATGTTACAAGTAATCCTTTTATGAAGCACATTTCAGATAATGAAAGATGGGGTTTCTTTTGCTGTTAGAGTGAGAAGATAGCAACCTTAGTAGATGTAGGCCTGAGTACAGATTAGAAAGTGATAACAGCACTAGTCGTGTAGTTATATATGAATGATATAGATATTGATGTAGTAATAGAATACAACTATACATCTTATTGAATATTACTACTACAGCTAATACTACCATCACTTTTATAATACTTAACATAAACAATGATCAGTGTTAGAACTGTAACATAATTATTCTGTAAGTATACATTTTTTACAAGTAAATAGTATAAGACTGTTCATAGCGGTTATAAAGAAACAGTGTATGAAGTGAAAAGCCCTGTCTTCCACCACTGGCATAGCTACAGTGTAATCAAGCCAGGTCTGCACTTTGGCAGTGCTGTAGCCTGCAGCTAAGTTTAACAGGATGCTTGAATATCGCTCAGCAAGTACAAAAGCACAGATAGGAGTTCTTCTCTCTCAGCTGTGTCCAAGTTCCTCTCTTCACAGGGAAGCACAATAATGTACAGAGAGGTTGTGAAAAAGCAGTGGGCGTTCACTGAATGTATCACAAAAAACAGGCTCAGACAATGGGGCTTGTAGCTCGCAGATTGACCCCTTTAATACCTTTGTTTGTTTGTTCTTAAAAGAAACACGAAGCGTGCTACAGCATAGTGGAGCGTGATTAGCCGCAGGAAGTCAGAGCAGAGGAGAAACCCGAGGATGACTTCTAGCATGGCGCTGGGAGCAAACCGTTTTCATGTCTTTTTATGTCACCAAATTCAAGCGCCACCAAGCCAAGTTTATTTTTAAATTCATGGATTAGCTCAAAACGATTCCTTGAAACACACAACAGGGGTGTTAAAGTTTATTACTCACACATTTTACAGTGTTTTTGCTCATGAAATGCAAATTGGTGCTGCATAATTTAGTGCGGTGTAAATCAGAGGAAGCAAAAACGTATGGAAATCTGCATGCATTGGCCCATTTTGTGTGACATGTTAAAACAGCTCACTTTATTGATGGCAGCTATATATTTTGAGCATTGTGTGTTTTGGCCAAGATAACAGACGTTTCTATGCCGTGAGCTGTTGATGATTATTCAAAATGGGGACTATGTTATCGTTTAGCTGGGCATAGTTGATCCTAATGACGTTGTTGACATGGCTTGAGTGAGGAGATTAAGTAGTGAGACATAAACAGACCATAGGGAGAGAAAATCTGCAGTTTGCCCCCAAGATGGCCTCCTTCTGCTCCTCCCAGTGCAGCATGTCTAAGCATAATCCTGTTCTTTTGTATAGCACAATTAGCAACAAAAGTGGACTCGAGCTGTTAAATTTAGTTTCTTTAAAAAAAGAAAAAAGAAAAAAAAAGATAAAAAAGTTAAAATTGAAATGATGACTAGAATTCTATCTGAATAAGACTTTATACAGTTTCCAAGATTAGAAAATAAACCTCTCATTAGTAACTCAATTGGGTCCCTAGGTATTAAGCAAGTGCATATTACAGATATTTTTTTACAAATTTTAAAAGGTGTGCTGCTTCACTTTTCTGGTGGAAGGTCCGTCACCCTCTCCTCTCCATGAAGATATTGCCTGGAATGTTCCACAGTATGGCATTACACTTATTTATCTCTATAAAGACAGCAGGTGACACTACAGGGCCAAGTTACATGTCAGATCTGTGAAGAGGTGAGCCCACTCACTGTAAGAATGCAAGTTTTTAGGTCAATAAAAAAACATGTTATTGAGTAAATGCAATGGAAAATTTTAATGCCATACTGGGTCATTCTAGACAAAACGATAACATCACCATGGAGACAAGCAGGTGATGGACCCTCCACTGGGAAATTTACACAGTGCACCTTTAACTTGATAAAATAAGCAGCTAAAATCTTATATAAGAACGTACCATTATGGGCCAGTAACAATAACCACTATGCACACTAAATAAGTACATTGGACTTATCCAAGAAATATTTTCAAGTTCTTAACACACAAACAAGGGGGAAATGGCTGAATGATGCTTTATACCAAGTCTCAATACAAGCAGTTATAACAGAATAGGCCTAAAAGCATAGCAGATCTCCAGTGTCAACACACCCATATTATTGGCTAGTGTTTTAGTTCCTGTGCAACTTTAAAGTAACCAAATACAAGCTCTGTCAGCTCCAATAATAGATTTAAGAAGCAAAGAGGGAAAAAATGACAACATAAAGATTTCACTGAAGCAGCCAGTACAGCCAAGAGATGTGTTAGTTTTAAAATGAGGCAAAAAAGTGCAAAGAGACCAAAGTGTTGCAGAGTGCCAGAAAGTGTCAGTGCCTCCAGTCATGCATAAAGGGGAACTAGATGAAGACTAATGTGGATCTGGCGGCCAAGCTTTCATTCTCCATATTGGAAAAGAAGCTAAATATCTGTATATAACTGCACATGCACAGGCTCAGAGTGTCCCAGAAGGGGAGGTGGCAAAGCGCGGAGAGAGAGGGGTGAAAAAGACATCAACCAAGAGCCCGAGGGAAAGCAGGCTGGTAAGAGCAATGAGGAAGGAAATGCCCCCCCAAGGTGATAATCAATCTCTAACAACAGAATACATCGATTACATTTAAATATTTTCTTTAGCATTTTTACAGCAGCTGATGACGGCAGGTGACAACTGAACAAGCACGGGAAAAGGGTTGAGCTGAACCATGAGAGAAATATCATTCTTCTGTTATTATTTGGTAATTTGGTTTGTGAGGAATTAAAATTTGTCTTTCAGAACATGTTTGCAAAGGTCTAAATGACAGGGCTACAAGTATTTTTACATGAGGGAATTCAGTTACAGATAATTGCTGTCGTTTGGTAATAGTGGCCATTTAAATTGCTACAACAATGGATGAATAACTATATTTGAGAACCTTTTGAATAGTTTTTTGTAGAAATATATTAAACTATAAACAAAGCATTTATCAGAGACAGATAAAAATTAATACCACAATTCTTGTTAGATACAAACATTTACTCTTGATATTTTCTGATACTTATTTAAATGGTAAATGGTCACATTTTTCTATAGCGCTTTTCCACCTTCAAGGCACTCAAAGCGCTTTACAACAAGGAACCACTCACCCATTCACACACACCAGTGTACACAAACACTGTGGGCAAGGTGGGTTAAGTGTCTTGCCCAAGGACACAACGACAGCATTCAACTGTGGGAGCTGGAATCACACCAGCCAACCTGTGGGTCAGTGGATCTGACCGCTCAACCTGTAATGTTTATGTTGAGAGCTGGATTCGAACCATCAACCTTCAGATCAGTGGGCGAATGCTCTACCAACTGAGCTTATTAACATTTTTTTTTCTCTCTTTGTTATTACAATATACTCTGATGTGTAAGCTACTGTGCCCGAGTAATTTTCCTTGTAGTTTGTCTAAGTAAGTAAGTCTAAAAAATTTTAATCGTTATTCTTTTATTTGCCTAATTATTTATTTTTAACATAGTTATCAATTTTGCACACATGTATTCATTATTTCCACATGAAGCGAGCAATATTGTTTTGGACCAATAATCATTTTACTCAAGTATAGTTTTTGGCTCGTATCCACCATACAGAAGTAGGATAGTGGGTGGTCACTGATCTACTCCCTGTTCTCGTGATGGGCAGTGGGCCAGAGTCGCACTGTTAGATTAATGAGAGACGGTGAGGAGCCCAGTGCTCAGCTGTAACAACTCTCCATTGGATAAACAACATTACGACGGACCATATGTAGTCTTGCATATCTCCATCTCTCTCCCCCTTGTGCTCCCTTCCACCCCCCTCACATCCATTCCCCCCACCCTCTCTGTGGCCCTGTTGTTTCAAAGTGTGAATAAGACGAAAGGGTCCCAGGCCGAGCGAG